TCAGCAGCCAGCATGGTTCATGTCAGCCGTCTCCTCCCTGCTGGGGAATCTGGACAGCCGGTCCTGAGGCCGTGTCAGGTGGCATGTACTGTTATGATCAGTTAAAAGTAAAAGCATGTTCAGTCAGGCTGTGGTGGCTCATGCCTGAAATGCTAAGCTGTTCATGAAACAGATCTGAGAATCACAGTTCAAAGCCAGCCTAGGTAGGGAAGTCTATCTCAGATTAATCACGAAAAAGCTGGATGTAGAGTGTGGCTCAGGTGGTAGTGCACCAGCCTTGAGTGAAAAGCTAAGGGCAGTGTCCAGGCCCTGAATTGAAGCCCCAGTATTAACGTGGTGGGGGAAAAGTACACCAGGTCCAAACGTTTGCCTGTCTTTTGTTTTCTACAAAAGAATGGCAGGCCATTTTCCACCATGACTCAAATCATCCACAAACAAATGAACAGGCCTTTCAGGGAGCACGGTGATCTTCCAGAAGAACGTGGCTGTGGATTTTGACTGGTTCCTCTGGGGTCTCCTGCGGGCTCGGGTAGTCCAGACAGGAAGCTCAGAGGGAGGGCACCCCCTCAGAAGCCCTGGCTTTCCTTGGGGACCTGGTGAGTCAGAGCTGCAGCTGTCTGGGGAGCCCAGCAGGCTGACTAGGTCTGCGCCCCCTGGAGAGAGACCCCAGGCGGGAGTTGCAGATGGAACTGCTGAGCTGAGGTAGGAGACATTTGTTTAGAGTCCTTTGGGGAGTCCTGCGGGGCAGAATGGAATGGAGCATGGGAAGTCAGGAAGCTCAGTGGCTGGGACCCAGGGTCCCCCAGTCTTTGAAGTCATGGCTGTTGAGTTTGAGAGTCTCAGATGTTGTGTGGAGTGGAGGGAAGCTTTCTGCCCAGTTAGTGTCTAAAGGGAGGCTGCTTGCTCATAGATTTTAGGTCAAGCTCTAAGCAGCCAGTTTGTATTTTCTGGGAGGCTGTGGAAGGATCAGGAGGAGGCAGAGGATGTGAGCTATAGCCCTATAAGGGAAAGTATGCAGGGGCCTCCGCATCTCATGCCTGCAGCAGCTGGAATGCGTGTGTGCCTTGGAAGGCCCAGCCCCTGGTCACCTGCTGCCTGGGAGCATGGCCTGTATGTCCCTCCCATGTCCCAGGTGTGTTCTGAGCATGCCACCAGGACACCTGCTAGGAGAGGAGGAGCTGTCATCTCTGCAATTCTGTCTTGAACACAGCCCTCCAGGAGGTTGGGTGCCGGTTCGTGAACTCGCACTCAGCACACACACATGCTGTTTGCCAGCGTCGTGCTGGACAACTCACCCAGGCAGAGAAGTCACACTGTGGTCCCCGCCACCTGCTCAGCCGGGGACCTCAACACAGGAGCCTTGAACAGCGTAACGTGGGAAGGGGCTGAGGGCAGATCAGAGGTGGTGACAGCCAGAGAGACGACCAGGTGGGAGACGGAATAGTGTGTGTGCACACATATGCACGCATTAGGGATGGGTGAGACACACCAGACATGGACCAGCAGCATGTGTAAAGTCTCACGGGCAGAGCCAGAGGGAACTTGAGCTGCTGAGAGCTGCTTGTGTGAGGAACAAGCAGGTGTGAAAAGAGATGAATTTGGGAAACGAAGAGAACTAAGATCCCGAAATGGGCTTTGGAGAAACTGGTGGGGAAGGTCAGGGAGGCTATTGGGGAGGCTGAGGGCAGGAGAATCTCGAGTTGGAGGCCAGCCTGGGCATTATGCTAGAGATTGCTTCTGAATGTACAGCTGGGCACAGTGGTTTCTGCCTGTCAACCTAGCCAAGAGGGAGGGATTTTGTTCCAGGACAGTTTAAGCAGAGAAGAGACGTGATCTGAACAGAAAGAAGCTGGTGTGGTGGTGTAGCCTGCTGTAGGAGGTAGTAGGGAAGTGGGCAGTCAGAGATGGAGGCCTATGGAAGGACTTTGCTAGGAGAGATTGGCTTTTGGTTTTCTCATTTGTGCAGTTGCCTTTAGGTTTAGACATCATTTTATACCTGCTTCAATAAATCAAAGCCTTTGGGAATTGTCAGGTTTTATCCTGTCTCCTAGACCACTTTATACACAGTGTGGTGTTCAGGCTTTGGCCCAATCGCACTGTGAAGCCATCGGGGTTGAAGCTTGTTTTGGGGGGATTCCTTGATGACAGTCTGACACATGGCGGTCTTCTGAGCAATGATCTGTTTTGCCCGGCTCCCGCTGGATGTGCAGAGTCTCACAGAACAGCCTTCCTCGCTGTTTGGTGCTGGGAGGCTGTTGATGAGCCCCGGTGACCGACAGCCTCCACCATGGGTCCTCCATCTTTGAGTTCTGATCACGTTGCAAGCGTGTGGTCAAGGAGCGGCCTGCTGGATGGTTGCGGGCTCTGCCGCACACTAGCCCACGGGTTCATAATACCCATCCTATCTTTAGCAAGAGGGAGACAACTTGGGGAACTGTTTACTCATATTACATGACTAAGAAAAACTGGAAGCCGGGCGCTGGTGGCTCACGCCTGTAATCCTAGCTACTCAGGAGGCTGAGATCTGAGGATCGTGGTTCAAAGCCAGCCCGGGCAGGAGGGACCGTGAGACTCCTATCTCCAATAAACCACCAGAAAACCGGAAGTGGCGCTGTAGCTCAAGTGGTAGAGCGCTTGCCTTGAGCTGAAGAGCTGAGGGACAGCGCCCAGGCCCAGAGTTCAAGCCCCACGACCGACAAAAAAAAAAAAAAAAGAAAAACTGGAGCTGGGATTGTAGCTGTGTGCTGCTGCGCATTGCCTGGACTTTGTAAAGGGCAGTGGAGCGTGGCAGGGGCCACGTGAGTGGCAGAGCAGAGCGTTCAGAGGCTTAGGATGAGCAGAAGTCCTCCAGGGAATGAGTCCCGTTACCTCAGGGTAGATCTTTGTTTGGGCCAGTCACATCACGCTGCTTCATGTCATTTCTACCACTGTAACATTTTGGAGGGAAGATGTTAAGGATGAATGAGGGAAAACCGGGAAGGAATTTAACATAGTAGAAGGCTGCCTGCAGACCCCTTTGGCTAGGATTCAAGGCTGCATAGTTGGAAGAGGTGGGGGTGGGGCTGTGCAACTCCTGCGGTTCCCTCCCTCCCTCCTTTCCTCTCCCTTCTTCTCCCCTATCCCTCCTGCCTCCCCTCCCCCCTTTCCTTCTCCTTCCCCTTGCCCTGCCGTTGCCCTCTTCCTCTTCCTCCTCTTCCTCTTCCTTTCCCTCCTCCTTCTCCTCCTTCCCCTCCTCTTCCTTCACCATCACCTCCTCCTTTTAAAAAATCTGTGCCAGCCTGGGCCACACTTCTCTAACATGTGCCTCCATGTGACTGGTATTACAGGCGTGCGCCATTACAGTTGACACGAGATCTCAATACTTTTTGTCCAGGCTGGCCTCTGTGAGTCTCCTGACCTCAGCTTCTTGAGTAGCTGGGATAAGTCAGTGCACCTGGCTCCGACCTCCTTCCCCTTAACACTGGAATTCTGCCTCGTACATTGACACTAAGCGGTGACATCAGCTTTGGGGCATGACATCATCTTTGGCAGCTGGCTCTGGTGCTTCTTTTAGCTGAAATCTGCTGCTTTGACACAATGTGAAGGAGCGAGGTGTTTGTTCAGAAGGGACACCGTGTCTTCAGTAAGGTTGCAGTGGTTGCTGGGATAGGTGTTCTCTGGCAGAAAACCTTGGCCAGCTCGTCATCAGATAAGAAGATAGCCAAGGGCTGGGAAGGTGGCTCAGTGGTAGAGCGCTTGCCTTGCATGCCTGAGGTCCTGGGTTCGATTCCTCAACACCACATAAGCAAAAAGAAAAAAAGCAGAAGTGGCGCTGTGGCTCAAGTGGTAGAGCGCTAGCTTTGAGCTGAAGAGCTTAGGGACAGCGCCCAGGCCCAGAGTTCAGGCCCCACGACTGGACCCCCCTCCCCCCCGCAAAAAAAAGAAGATAGCCAAAATACTCCAAGAGCTCCGAAAGTTAAACAGTAGACCAAAGATTGCCATTAATATTTACATATGTGAATTGAACTGTTCTCAGAAGAAGAAATACAAACAGCTAATTGATACATGAAGAAATGTTCAAAATCCTTAGCCATAAAACAAATTCAGGGCCAAACTCCACTAAGATTCCATCTCGCCCCAGGCAGAATCAGGAAGACATCCTGGCGAGGATATGGGGAAACGGACCCTCAGACACTGTTGGTGGGAGCACCGTGGGGGTCCGTGTGGAAGTTCCTCACACAATCAAAAGCATCTGCCCTCGGAGGGTCCTGCCACCCTAGAGCTGTATTTGAAGGAATTTAAGTGAAAACACAACCTAGATACCCGCACACCTGGGTTTGCAGAGCAGTGTTCGCAGTAGCCGGACTGTGGAATCAGCCCAAGTGCTCTCCACCTGAGTGGACAAAGAGAAATACGATGGGTGTGTGTGTGCATGAATACATACACATGCGTACGCATGCACATGCACAACAGTATGAGTCGGCACTAAAGAAAAGTGGAATTATCCTATTGCAGGAAAATGAATGGAACTGGAGGTCATCGTGTTAAGTGAAACAGACCATGCTGGCAGACAAACACTGCATGCTGTCCTATTCAGAATCTAGTCGTTCCTGAATGACAGGAACATGAAACCGGGACTGTGGGTAGAAACGTGAAGGGGAGGGTATAGACAGAAGGAGAGGGTGGGCTCGGGGTGATATAGTTGAATTACTTTTTATGCATGTATGAAAATAGAATGATGAAATGTTTTGACATTGTCTTCCGAGGCGGGGAGGCTAAGAGCGTAAGCGAGGGCTGGGCTGGATCGTGGTACATTGTGCATGCATGAAAATACCACAGTGAAACGCCTTGTATACCTGATACCTGCCAAGCGGGAGCACTTGAGGAAAAGCTAGGAATGAAAGGCTTTGGAGACTGAGGTGTCCATTCCTGCTGTGATGTTTGGTTAGGTTTTTATTGTGACATTACCGACATACCAAGGAGCCTCATAATCCCCTCCCTTCTCTCTCCTTTGTTCTCAGCAATGGAAGAGTTAATAGTTGAACTTCGCCTCTTCCTCGAACTCCTTGACCATGAGTATCTCACATCCACCGTCAGGGAGAAGAAGGCAGTGCTCAGCAACATCCTGCTGCGGATACAGTCCTCCAGAGGTGGGCTGGGGTACAGTCCTCCAGAGGTGGGCTCGGGTACAGCCCTGCAGAGGTGGGCTCGGGTACAGCCCTGCAGAGGTGGGCTCGGGTACAGCCCTCCAGAGGTGGGCTCGGGTACAGCCCTCCAGAGGTGGGCTCGGGTACAGCCCTCCAGAGGTGGGCTTGGGTACAGCCCTCCAGAGGTGGGCTCGGGTACAGCCCTCCAGAGGTGGGCTCGGGTACAGCCCTGCAGAGGTGGGCTCGGGTACAGCCCTGCAGAGGTGGGCTCGGGTACAGCCCTCCAGAGGTGGGCTTGGGTACAGCCCTCCAGAGGTGGGCGGGGGCGGGGTGGGGGTGTCAGCCCTCCAGAGGTGGGCTCGGGTACAGCCCTGCAGAGGTGGGCTCGGGTACAGTCCTGCAGAGGTGGGCTGGGGCGGGGGGAGGGGGTCAGTCCTCCAGAGGTGGGCTCGGGTACAGTCCTCCAGAGGTGGGCTCGGGTACAGTCCTCCAGAGGTGGGCTTGGGTACAGTCCTGCAGAGGGGGTTCCCTTCTCCCAGCCCCTTCACCTCCAGCCGCCTTGGATTCCACCCGCTTTCTACGATGTTTTGCCCATTCATCGATGGTCATTGGAGCTGTTTATTTAGCGAGTGTCCTTGAGAGCCTGTCTTGTGCCAAGTGCTGGGCTATCTGCCAGGAGTGAATAGAATTGTGGGGCTCCCAAGAGCACCCCAGTGTTAGCTGGAGGGGTCAGGACCTGGCGCCATGTTTCTGTTTCCAGAAGCAGCTCAGCCCGCTGGAGCTCTTCCTGGGGGCGCCTTGTAAGCTCTTTAGCACGTCCCTGATCTTCAGACCCCGCCAGGAAGAGCCGGGTTCTGCGTGGCCCCCGTCTCTGCGCAAGCAGTGTAGCCCCGCGAACACCTTCCTTGTCACTTCTGCACCCACTTTCCCAGATGCCCGCCGGCCAGCCGGCAGCAACAGCAGCCTCGCGCTGCCCGGGGGGACGGTCCCCGCACACTCTCTGTGGTGTTGGGAGAGGGCTGAGGGGACGCTGGGCCAGGTTAGAGAGGCGGAGGGCACAGGGCACGCGGGGCAGCAGGTCCGCAGGGGACCCGCGGCGCTGTCTGGATTCTGCCCGGGCTGGGTGATAGATGGTGGCGGCTTGGACTAGCGCCGACTAGGGTGCCATGGTGTGGGGGCCTGGGTGGGCGGAGGACCTGACACACCTGACCCCGCCTCTCAGGCTTCTCCTCAGGCCCGAGCTGGGCCTCTGACCGCTTCCTCCGACCGGTCACCAAGCCTTCCTTCACCGCCTGCTGTGCTAAAGCACCAGCCACGTAGTTTTGTTGTTGTTTTTTTTTAAAGCAATGGCTTCCATTTCTATTCCCCCCCCTCCGCCTCCCCTTCCTTGCCCTTCCCTTTTCCTCTTCTCTTCCTCCTCTTCTCCCGTCTCCTCTCTCCCTCTACAGTCCTGTAGTGTACTTAGTTACTCGGAAAGCAGGGAATAATGATCCCGCCTTGCAGATCGCTGTGGAGCACTGGAGAAGGAGCCTGCCCAGAGCGCCCCTCACCAGCCCTGTGCTCTGCTTGCTTTGCAGGCTTTGAAGCCAAGGAGCACGCCCCACGGCCGGAGAGCAGCAGCCTGCCAGCACCCCCTCAGCTGCCTCTGCCGGAGATCCCTCAGCCGTGGCTGGTGAGTGAGCACCCTGCCCCTCGCGGGCGCCCGAGGCCCGGCCAGCTCAGGAGGCCTGCGGCCTGGCTGGGATGTGGCCTGGCTGGGATGTGGCCTGGCTCGGAGGTGGCGTTGGGAGACTGCCCGAGCCCTGGGTCAGGTTCAGGAACAGAGCCGCAGAGGTCAGGCAGGCAGAGCCACGCCAGGGAGCCCCAGGGCTCTCGAGTCACCTCTGAGGTCCCCGGCTGTGACCGGGAATCTTCTGCCCTTAAGGAGTCATTTTCTTCAAGAGAGACCAAGTGTGCACATGGTAGCACGGTGGCTTCGTTTGAGGTTTTGCGTTTAAGTCAAGTTTTCCATGTGCACGGGCCTGCGCCGCCAGCGCTGCGCGCCGCTCTGTGCAGTTCCAGGCCTGCTACCTGCTCAGTCGGGGAAAGCGGAGGTGCAGGCCACGCCGGCACTCACTTTCTACATCTGCTGTCAGTGGGGTCAGCCCACGGGGGACTCGGGGGCCATGTACCCTTACCTGTCCTCAGCAGAGCCCTGGAGCCCCGCGGGGGAGGGGCGGTGGCGGGCCTGGCTCACGCAGAGCCACGCTGCTTCCTCGTTTATCAGGTGCCCTTACCCACGGGGTGCCTCTCCAGACCAGTGACGCCCTTACCCACGGGTGGCGGGAGGGAGAGGTATGTTCTCAGACCCCGGTGTCGTCCAGCTCTCCAAGGCCACGCCCCCATCGGCGGCAGTTCCTGTCTCCACATCCTCGTGAGGGGTTTGGATTTGTGACTAGGGCACCGTGGGACGGTGACCAGTGAGGAAACAGTACGATCGTAATGACACGCTGCCACAAGCGTCAGTGAGGGATGGCATGGGAAGATGGCGGCGTCTGCCCCGAGTTCTCCAGCGTGTGTTGTAGGTGGTATACGAGGGCGCAGGCAGAGCTGCACATGCTCTGCTGTGAAGACCGCTGAAATGTCACACACCCGGCGCGAGCCCCAGGGCACAGCCAGGGCCCCTGCACCAGCCTGCTCTGCCCAGACACGCCGTGCCGCTCATCTTCGGCGACATTCATCCTGCCGTGACGGCAAGGCCGGCTCTCCCTGACTTTGGCAGAGAGGCCAAGCTGACCTGATTGCCTAAACACCATTCAACCCCTTTTCACATTACTGATGGAGGCGGCATGCATTCTTTGAGGTAGAATTACTGAGCTAAGAGTGTTTCTCTATGAGGTTGTTCCCAGCATGTGATCACCAGGAAGGATCGACAGTTTAAAGTCACAAAGGACATGGTGGCTCTTGCCTATAATCCCAGCTACTCCAGAGGTAGAGATCGGAAAGTTTATGGGGCGCGGCTATGCAGGGATTGCAAGGACAAGGGAACCCATCCCTGGGTCAGAGCGGCCCAGAGGCCAGCCCGAGCCGTCCGAGCCAGCCCGGCTGCGCTGGGGAGGGCTGCTGTGCCCAGGACCGGCTGCTGTGTGCAGCGTCTCACTGGTAGGCTGGTGTGGCCGTGGCCGTGGCCGTGGCTGCGACAGGGCTGGTGTGGTGTGAACAGGAGCTGGCCTTGCAGCCTGGGGGCGGAGGGCTTTTGTCCAGCGACGGCTGTGAGGAGGAAGTGCTGTGGGGTGAAGCCCCCCTACCCCAAGCCAACCCCGAGTTTTCCTCTCCTCAGCCTCCTGACAGTGGACCTCCGCCCTTGCCCACGGCCTCGCTCCCCGAGGGCTACTACGAGGAAGCGGTGCCACTGAGCCCCGGGAAGGCCCCGGAGTACATCACAGCCAGTGAGTGGGGGCCCCGGAGCGGGCTGCAGCGGGCATGGGACACAGCCATGGCTTGGGGTTCTTCCTCTTGGTGGTACTTGCGTTTGAACTCGGCCCCTCACACGCTAGGTTGGTACCCTGGCACTCTACTGCCGATCCAGGCCTCCAGGCTAGTTTTTTTATTTCAGGGAAGGGGTAGGTTTATTCAGTAGACCTGCTGGGAAAGAGCTGGGAAAGAGGAGCTGGGAAAGAGAAGAGAGAGCTGGGAAAGAGAAATTGCTGGGAACAAGAGAGAGCTGGGAAAGAGAAGAGAGAGCTGGGAAAGAGAAAAGAGCTAGAAAAAAGCAGAGAGGAGGCTAGTTTTTTTTTTTTTTTTTTTTTTTTTTTTTTAACCAGTTACTTTTAGGGGAGAGCCACGGTCCATCTTGAGGCTTCTTGTAGTTGCTGGGATTATATGCGTGCGCTGCTGCATCCGGCTTCCCTTTGTGCAGACAGAGTCTTGAGGACTTTTCTGCCAGGGGTTGGCCTCAAACCTTGATCCTCCCAATCTCAGTCTCCCAAGTAACAGATTACAGGCAGGAGTCACAGAGCCCAACTTAGGGATAGGTTTAGTCACTTCTTGTGGGAGCATTTTATTGAGTTAGCACAGCCGCCCCTTTCTCACTGAGTTTCCTCAGAGATTAGAAAATCGGTGTTGTGCTCCTCTAACTGTGCTCACCTGCCTGGCAGATTATGACTCAGACGCCATGAGCAGCTCCTATGAGTCCTACGACGAGGAGGAGGAGGATGGGAAGGGGAAGAAGACGCGGCACCAGTGGCCGTCGGAGGAGGCTTCCATGGACCTGGTGAAGGACGCCAAGATCTGCGCCTTTCTGCTGCGCAAGAAACGGTTCGGCCAGTGGACCAAACTGCTGTGCGTCGTCAAGGACACCAAGCTGCTGGTGAGTGCATCGCAGTGCAGGGCGTGCGGGGCAGGGAGCCGTGCTGGGGCCGCGTTGAACGCCGGAGCCGGGCCCTGGAGTGCTGGGGGCATGGTGAACGCCAGAGCCATCCCAGCTCAGTGAACAGGCTGAGCTGGACTGAGCCCCGCCGAGCCCTGGCTGGGCCTGGGCGGGCGGCAGGCCAGGCTGTGCATCCCGGGCTCAGGCTCGGAGCCTCCCCGCCCTGCCGGGCCTGCGGCTGTCAGTGGAAATGCTCGAATGCTGTAACTTGCCAGGCTGTGCAGGATGGACCGTGAGTCAGTGAATTCCTCCCAGCCAGGTCACCATGGGAGGGGAGGCGCTGGGGGAAAGGAAATTCTTTTGGAAATTAACCCAAGAGGCAACATAGGAGGTTGGAGAGAATGAACCAGAAGCTGGGGGTGGAAGCCGTAGCCCAGCCTGCAGTGGGCCATGGGGTTGTTCCCAGAAGCCTCTAGTGAGGGAGGGGGGTGAGCTTCCATCCCCCACCCTCTTCTCTCCCTGTCCTCCCTCTCCTCCCCACTGGAAAACATGCCTGATCATCAGTTATGAACTCGACAGAACCTGTGTGTGTTTGTTCGTGTATGTTCGTTAGTTCGTGTTCATGCACACATGTGCCAACACTAGGGCATGAACTTAGGACCGGGTGCTGTTTCTTAACTATTTACAGTCAAGTCTGGTGCTGTACCACTTGAGCCACAGCTCCACTTCTGGCTTTTTTCTGGTTAATTGGAGATAAGAGTCTCATAGTTTTGTCTCCCTCCTGCCTGGTGCCTGGCTCTTACTAGTACATTTTTGCCTTCTGCTTTTCTTTCAAGTTGGCTGGTAATTGCTCAGAAGTGTGTCACAAAGCAAAACTGAGCCTTTCTGTTATCACCAGTCATGTTTTAACGGAACAGATGATAGTTTTTTGGTGGTTTTTTTTTTGTTGTTGTTGTTAAAACCAAGTTTTTTGACTTGTGGGAGTCATAATTTCCTAGCGTCACAGACCATCGTATGTTTTTAAATGAATGTCTTTGTCAGTGTTTTAGAACAGTGGGGTACATTGCTTCTCCACATGTGTGGCCTGAATGTCTCCCACATTGAGAATATGCCAGAAATGATGCTCTTGGGGATTTTAAAGCCTGAAGAACTCCATGAACACAGCCCTCATTTACGGTCTCATGTACTGACTGCAGATGTGGTTAGAAGACGATGTCTTAAGCACACACACCCCACATACAGCCTGGGCCGTGGGTGGGGAGCAGCATCTTGGGGTCCAGACCTGCAACCCTTCTCCCCGCCCCTCTACATCTCTCCCTCCTCCCCTCTGGCCTTCAACGAGGTTCTCCTCTCTACATCCTAACCATAATAGCTCCCACTTAGAATACTTCCAAATAGTGGAACGAAAATGAAACATGGGAGAAAGCATCGACTTTGATTAAATGCCGGATCAAAACCGTTCCCGTGGAGCTTCGTTCAGAAGAGCTCATGGTTTAGCTACTCAGACAACTCTGTTAACATGAAGCAAATTAGCTGTGGGAAAGCCAAGTGTTTTTCAGACTGAACAGAGAGTGGGTGACTGTCACCGCACTGCCCATCACCGGTGGGCGGCGTGCAGGACGCAGCCCGTGCTGTCAGCGCTGCCTTCCGGCTCTGCCGCGTGCAGGTGGCCCTGGGGTCGGCACTAAGCCACCCAGGCTCCACCTGGGGGGGCTGAATGGCACACATGCAGAGTCTTGTGTAGACTCTCAGGACTTGGTAGCATGTGATTTTTAGTGTCAAATATCAACAGTGTCAAAGCCCAGTTTGCTAATGAGGAAGCAGACTCAGTGAGCTTGAACTCCCAGGCCCAGCTTGGACCAGCGACTGAGCAGAACCAGGTGTTCCGCACACAGGATGTCTTTGGTTCCAAATAATAAGACACCAGGGCTGCGGGACGCAGCCCTCGGCCGTGAGCCAGTCGCTGGGCGTCTTAGAGCACCTGGCGGGTCTGCCGAGCAGCGTGAGCTTTGGGGACACAGGAAAGCGCACCTGGCGGGGGGCACAAAAGTGACATTTGCTGGCCCTAAGCGGTGCTGGTTGTGTAGTCTCAGCAAATCTGAGAGAGCCTGGCATGCCACAGTGATCGTGTGAACGCTAGTGCATTTGATGCGCTGTTTAGACAGAATTGCAGAATGTCGTGAAGCAGCACCCCAGAACCTCCGCCTTATCCAAGCAGGGCCTCCCTGGCTCTGCGGAATCTAGAACCTCAGCTTTATCCTGTCCAGATGCTCAGTGAACTCTTGGTAATGAGCAGGCGAAGGCCCTTCTGGGTCATGAGAGCGCGCACGCGTGTATGCGTGCGTGCGTGCGTGTGTGTGATACCTGTTAGTGTGCAGACCCTTCCCAACCTTGCAGCAGTTCCACGACCAAGCCTGGCACCACCCACAGTTTCACAGGCTTTATTTTGCTGTGTTTTTTGAGTTAGTACTGGGGCTTGAACTCAGGGCCTGGGCTCTGTCTCTTAGTGGTTTTGCTCAAAGTGAGTGCTTCTCTCCTTGAGCCACACTTGAACTTCTGGCCTTTTGCTGATTAATTGGAGATAGGAGGTCTCCCAGACGTTGCTGTCGGGACTGGCTTTAACGGTGATCCTCGGGTGGGAGCCACCGCGCCCGGCTCCGTGCCACTCCCTGACAAGACGCATTGGCTTGTGTTGAATGCAGTGCTACAAGAGCTCCAAGGACCAGCAGCCGCAGATGGAGCTGCCGCTGCAAGGCTGCAGCGTCGCCTACATCCCGAAAGACAGCAAGAAGAAGCAGCACGAGCTGAAGATCACCCAGCAGGGCACCGACCCCCTGGTGCTCGCCGTGCAGAGCAGGGAGCAGGCCGAGCAGTGGCTCAAGGTAGGTGTCCGGCTGTCCTGCCGTCCCGCCAGGCGCCTCTCACGGCCATCCCTGAGCCCCCCCCCGCCCGCCACTATTCAGAGTGGGGTTCTAGCACTGGCAGAACGCAGTAACCCGAACACCTTCTCTTCATACCTCCCATTCTGGCTGAAATCCTCTTCCCCCTGTACCCACCTTTTCAAATGTCCGCTGTTTTAGCGTTTGCCTCACGGTGGTGCTGAGTCCCCGAGCGTCTCAGAGCTGGGCCATCTTCTGGGTTTGATTGTGTGTGAATCTGAGTGTTGTATGGCTTTCCATGGTCACATAAATGAGCAACTGAGTGGCGGCCCCTCCTGCGTCAAGGGGCATGGTGGCCACCGGTCAGGTTTCATCTCTGTGGCCCTGCCCTTCCTCCCTGGCGCCTTGTCTGCACGGTGCTCCCTGTGCTGCCTCCTTGTCTGCACAGTGCTCCCTGTGCTGTGCTGCCTCCTTGTCTGCACAGTGCTCCCTGTGCTGTGCTGTCTCCTTGTCTGCACAGTGCTCCCTGTGCTGTGCTGCCTCCTTGTCTGCACAGTGCTCCCTGTGCTGCCTCCTTGTCTGCACAGTGCTCCCTGTGCTGCCGCCTTGTCTGCACAGTGCTCCCTGTGCTGCCTCCTTGTCTGCACAGTGCTCCCTGTGCTGCCTCCTTGTCTGCACAGTGCTCCCTGTGCTGTGCTGCCTCCTTGTCTGCACGGTGCCCCCTGTGCTGTGCTGCCGCCTTGTCTGCACAGTGCTCCCTGTGCTGCCTCCTTGTCTGCACAGTGCTCCCTGTGCTGCCTCCTTGTCTGCACAGTGCTCCCTGTGCTGCCTCCTTGTCTGCACAGTGCTCCCTGTGCTGTGCTGCCTCCTTGTCTGCACGGTGCCCCCTGTGCTGTGCTGCCGCCTTGTCTGCACAGTGCTCCCTGTGCTGCCTCCTTGTCTGCACGGTGCTCCCTGTGCTGCCTCCTTGTCTGCACAGTGCTCCCTGTGCTGCCTCCTTGTCTGCACAGTGCTCCCTGTGCTGCCGCCTTGTCTGCACAGTGCTCCCTGTGCTGTGCTGCCTCCTTGTCTGCACAGTGCTCCCTGTGCTGTGCTGCCTCCTTGTCTGCACAGTGCTCCCTGTGCTGCCGCCTTGTCTGCACAGTGCTCCCTGTGCTGCCTCCTTGTCTGCACGGTGCTCCCTGTGCTGCCTCCTTGTCTGCACAGTGCTCCCTGTGCTGCCTCCTTGTCTGCACAGTGCTCCCTGTGCTGCCTCCTTGTCTGCACAGTGCTCCCTGTGCTGCCTCCTTGTCTGCACAGTGCTCCCTGTGCTGTGCTGCCTCCTTGTCTGCACAGTGCTCCCTGTGCTGCCTCCTTGTCTGCACAGTGCTCCCTGTGCTGTGCTGTCTCCTTGTCTGCACAGTGCTCCCTGTGCTGTGCTGCCGCCTTGTCTGCACAGTGCTCCCTGTGCTGCCTCCTTGTCTGCACAGTGCTCCCTGTGCTGTGCTGTCTCCTTGTCTGCACAGTGCTCCCTGTGCTGTGCTGCCGCCTTGTCTGCACAGTGCTCCCTGTGCTGCCTCCTTGTCTGCACAGTGCTCCCTGTGCTGCCTCCTTGTCTGCACGGTGCTCCCTGTGCTGCCTCCTTGTCTGCACAGTGCTCCCTGTGCTGTGCTGCCGCCTTGTCTGCACAGTGCTCCCTGTGCTGTGCTGCCGCCTTGTCTGCACAGTGCTCCCTGTGCTGCCTCCTTGTCTGCACAGTGCTCCCTGTGCTGTGCTGTCTCCTTGTCTGCACAGTGCTCCCTGTGCTGTGCTGCCTCCTTGTCTGCACAGTGCTCCCTGTGCTGCCTCCTTGTCTGCACAGTGCTCCCTGTGCTGTGCTGTCTCCTTGTCTGCACAGTGCTCCCTGTGCTGTGCTGCCGCCTTGTCTGCACAGTGCTCCCTGTGCTGCCTCCTTGTCTGCACAGTGCTCCCTGTGCTGTGCTGTCTCCTTGTCTGCACAGTGCTCCCTGTGCTGTGCTGCCTCCTTGTCTGCACGGTGCTCCCTGTGCTGCCTCCTTGTCTGCACGGTGCTCCCTGTGCTGCCTCCTTGTCTGCACAGTGCTCCCTGTGCTGTGCTGCCGCCTTGTCTGCACAGTGCTCCCTGTGCTGTGCTGCCTCCTTGTCTGCACAGTGCTCCCTGTGCTGCCTCCTTGTCTGCACAGTGCTCCCTGTGCTGTGCTGCCTCCTTGTCTGCACAGTGCTCCCTGTGCTGTGCTGCCTCCTTGTCTGCACAGTGCTCCCTGTGCTGCCTCCTTGTCTGCACAGTGCTCCCTGTGCTGCCTCCTTGTCTGCACAGTGCTCCCTGTGCTGCCTCCTTGTCTGCACAGTGCTCCCTGTGCTGTCTCCTTGTCTGCACAGTGCTCCCTGTGCTGTGCTGCCTCCTTGTCTGCACGGTGCTCCCTGTGCTGCCTCCTTGTCTGCACAGTGCTCCCTGTGCTGTGCTGCCTTGTCTGCACAGTGCTCCCTGTGCTGTGCTGCCTCCTTGTCTGCACAGTGCTCCCTGTGCTGTGCTGCCTCCTTGTCTGCACGGTGCTCCCTGTGCTGTCTCCTTGTCTGCACAGTGCTCCCTGTGCTGTGCTGCCTCCTTGTCTGCACGGTGCTCCCTGTGCTGCCTCCTTGTCTGCACGGTGCTCCCTGTGCTGCCTCCTTGTCTGCACAGTGCTCCCTGTGCTGTGCTGCCGCCTTGTCTGCACAGTGCTCCCTGTGCTGTGCTGCCTCCTTGTCTGCACGGTGCTCCCTGTGCTGTGCTGCCTCCTTGTCTGCACAGTGCTCCCTGTGCTGTGCTGCCTCCTTGTCTGCACAGTGCTCCCTGTGCTGCCTCCTTGTCTGCACAGTGCTCCCTGTGCTGCCTCCTTGTCTGCACAGTGCTCCCTGTGCTGTCTCCTTGTCTGCACAGTGCTCCCTGTGCTGTGCTGCCTCCTTGTCTGCACGGTGCTCCCTGTGCTGCCTCCTTGTCTGCACAGTGCTCCCTGTGCTGTGCTGCCTCCTTGTCTGCACGGTGCTCCCTGTGCTGCCTCCTTGTCTGCACGGTGCTCCCTGTGCTGCCTCCTTGTCTGCACAGTGCTCCCTGTGCTGTGCTGCCGCCTTGTCTGCACAGTGCTCCCTGTGCTGTGCTGCCTCCTTGTCTGCACAGTGCTCCCTGTGCTGCCTCCTTGTCTGCACAGTGCTCCCTGTGCTGCCTCCTTGTCTGCACAGTGCTCCCTGTGCTGTCTCCTTGTCTGCACAGTGCTCCCTGTGCTGTGCTGCCTCCTTGTCTGCACGGTGCTCCCTGTGCTGCCTCCTTGTCTGCACAGTGCTCCCTGTGCTGCCTCCTTGTCTGCACAGTGCTCCCTGTGCTGTCTCCTTGTCTGCACAGTGCTCCCTGTGCTGTGCTGCCTCCTTGTCTGCACGGTGCTCCCTGTGCTGCCTCCTTGTCTGCACAGTGCTCCCTGTGCTGTGCTGCCTCCTTGTCTGCACAGTGCTCCCTGTGCTGTGCTGCCTCCTTGTCTGCACAGTGCTCCCTGTGCTGTGCTGCCTCCTTGTCTGCACGGTGCTCCCTGTGCTGTCTCCTTGTCTGCACAGTGCTCCCTGTGCTGTGCTGCCTCCTTGTCTGCACAGTGCTCCCTGTGCTGTGCTGCCTCCTTGTCTGCACAGTGCTCCCTGTGCTGTGCTGCCTTGTCTGCACAGTGCTCCCTGTGCTGCCTCCTTGTCTGCACAGTGCTCCCTGTGCTGTGCTGCCTCCTTGTCTGCACGGTGCTCCCTGTGCTGCCTCCTTGTCTGCACGGTGCTCCCTGTGCTGCCTCCTTGTCTGCACGGTGCTCCCTGTGCTGTCTCCTTGTCTGCACAGTGCTCCCTGTGCTGTGCTGCCTCCTTGTCTGCACAGTGCTCCCTGTGCTGTGCTGCCTCCTTGTCTGCACGGTGCTCCCTGTGCTGTGCTGCCTCCTTGTCTGCACAGTGCTCCCTGTGCTGTGCTGTCTCCTTGTCTGCACAGTGCTCCCTGTGCTGTGCTGCCTCCTTGTCTGCACGGTGCTCCCTGTGCTGCCTCCTTGTCTGCACAGTGCTCCCTGTGCTGCCTCCTTGTCTGCACAGTGCTCCCTGTGCTGCCTCCTTGTCTGCACGGTGCTCCCTGTGCTGTGCTGCCTCCTTGTCTGCACAGTGCTCCCTGTGCTGTGCTGCCTCCTTGTCTGCACAGTGCTCCCTGTGCTGCCTCCTTGTCTGCACAGTGCTCCCTGTGCTGTCTCCTTGTCTGCACAGTGCTCCCTGTGCTGTGCTGCCTCCTTGTCTGCACAGTGCTCCCTGTGCTGTGCTGCCTCCTTGTCTGCACAGTGCTCCCTGTGCTGCCTCCTTGTCTGCACAGTGCTCCCTGTGCTGCCTCCTTGTCTGCACAGTGCTCCCTGTGCTGCCTCCTTGTCTGCACAGTGCTCCCTGTGCTGTGCTGCCGCCTTGTCTGCACAGTGCTCCCTGTGCTGTGCTGCCTCCTTGTCTGCACAGTGCTCCCTGTGCTGCCTCCTTGTCTGCACAGTGCTCCCTGTGCTGCCTCCTTGTCTGCACAGTGCTCCCTGTGCTGCCTCCTTGTCTGCACGGTGCTCCCTGTGCTGCCTCCTTGTCTGCACAGTGCTCCCTGTGCTGTGCTGCCTCCTTGTCTGCACAGTGCTCCCTGTGCTGTGCTGCCTCCTTGTCTGCACAGTGCTCCCTGTGCTGTGCTGCCTCCTTGTCTGCACGGTGCTCCCTGTGCTGTGCTGCCTCCTTGTCTGCACAGTGCTCCCTGTGCTGCCTCCTTGTCTGCACGGTGCTCCCTGTGCTGCCTCCTTGTCTGCACAGTGCTCCCTGTGCTGTGCTGCCTCCTTGTCTGCACAGTGCTCCCTGTGCTGCCTCCTTGTCTGCACAGTGCTCCCTGTGCTGTGCTGCCTCCTTGTCTGCACAGTGCTCCCTGTGCTGTGCTGTCTCCTTGTCTGCACAGTGCTCCCTGTGCTGTGCTGCCTCCTTGTCTGCACAGTGCTCCCTGTGCTGCCGCCTTGTCTGCACAGTGCTCCCTGTGCTGTGCTGTCTCCTTGTCTGCACAGTGCTCCCTGTGCTGTGCTGCCGCCTTGTCTGCACAGTGCTCCCTGTGCTGCCTCCTTGTCTGCACAGTGCTCCCTGTGCTGTGCTGCCTCCTTGTCTGCACAGTGCTCCCTGTGCTGTGCTGCCTCCTTGTCTGCACAGTGCTCCCTGTGCTGTGCTGCCTCCTTGTCTGCACGGTGCTCCCTGTGCTGTGCTGCCTCCTTGTCTGCACAGTGCTCCCTGTGCTGCCTCCTTGTCTGCACAGTGCTCCCTGTGCTGCCTCCTTGTCTGCACAGTGCTCCCTGTGCTGCCTCCTTGTCTGCACAGTGCCCCCTGTGCTGTGCTGCCTCCTTGTCTGCACAGTGCTCCCTGTGCTGCCGCCTTGTCTGCACAGTGCTCCCTGTGCTGCCTCCTTGTCTGCACAGTGCTCCCTGTGCTGTGCTGCCTCCTTGTCTGCACGGTGCTCCCTGTGCTGTGCTGCCTCCTTGTCTGCACAGTGCTCCCTGTGCTGCCGCCTTGTCTGCACAGTGCTCCCTGTGCTGTGCTGCCTCCTTGTCTGCACAGTGCTCCCTGTGCTGTGCTGCCTCCTTGTCTGCACGGTGCTCCCTGTGCTGTGCTGGCGCCTTGTCTGCACAGTGCCCCCTGGGGTGGACCCGGAGTTTTGTCCAGGCAGGAGTTGGGGAGCTTGCGGGGAGCAGGGAGCGGCCCTGCACTGTGGCCCCGGGAGCGCTGGGGTGGCCGTGGCTTGCGTGGTTTGGTGTGGTCACTGCTCTGGCTCTCCGAGCTGTCCGTGCTGTGCAGTGCCGCCCAGGCCTCCCGTGCGTGGGGACCTCCGCCTGGCGCTGTGTCCTACTTCCCAAGTGTGCTGCCCACCGTCGCCGGGAAGCCACACAGCCACACCGGCCGGCACTGGCCACACTGCTGACCGGCGCCCTCGGGCCCGCGCGTCCCGGGCTCTGAGCGCCCCCTCTCACTCTCTATTCTTAGTAATTTTTTTCAGTTTCCTCAAAATATCATAAAATGTTAGTAATGACAGTTTTATGAGAGGTCAGTCAGCGCTGTCATCACAGCCTTTACCTTACAGAGTCCACGTCTCTATGAATGGGATAAATTAAAACAAAACAAAGCAGTTCTCCTCCTAGCGGGGAGAAGAAAGTGAGAGAGAGACAGAGACAAGAAGAAGAGAGAGAGAGAGGGAGGGAGAGGCGAGGGCGCTGGAAGTCCGGAGTGGTCCTTGTGTGCGTTGAACGCCGGATGTTTGTCATCGACCCAGTCTTCTCCATCTGTCTGTCAAAGAGAATTACAAAGCGGTAGAATGAAAAGGCTGAGTGCATCCTTAGCACTCTAGTTAAAAGCCAGAAGCGGAGGAGTCTCAAGTGGTAGACTGCCAGCCTTGACTGAAAAGCAAGAGCTCCTGAGTTCAAGCCTCAGTTAACTCCCCCCCCCCCCCCCATTAAAAATGAACCCTGGGATTAGAAGCTGAAGTAAAGGCGTGGCGCTGTCTGCGGGGCCGGGGCCGGGGCCGGCTCATAAACCAGTGATGATCTTTTGTTTTAAACACGGACTGCGGTTGCCCCATTGTTCAAAGCTTCTGATCGAGGATTTTGATATTTTGAAGCACGGCTTTAGTGTAATGATTGAAATGCTTTATTGGAAACACACACACATCCCTTTGCCCAGTGTGATAAATGTGAGGATGATGATGGGTAACAGCATGCGACTCCCTGCAGGACTTAACCACCCGGAGGTCCTCCTGAAGATGCCACAGCCACCAGCTCTGGCTGCAGTGAACTGAGTGTGTCTGTCTGTCTGTGTGTAGTCACACAAAAGCGGCAAGCATGAGCCGTCCTTAGAGCTCACACAGAAGACGAGAGCCAGTGTTCCCAGAAACAGTGTGGTTGGGTTTCTTTAAAAAAAAATGTGCAGAAACTGTGTTTCTGGAGAGGAGGGTTCAAGTTAGAAGCAAGCAGAATACCACACACACAACCACTTGTTTGGGAGGGACATGTGACTGAATTTGAACACAAGCCTCTTAAGAATGAACATCAGAAACACACAGTGCAAAGAGCTTGTTGAAGGCCACTCAGCCTTTGTTTATGGCCTCTTCACTCACCCCGCCCTCCCCCACTCACCACGCCCGCGCCCTGGGCTCAGGCCCAGGCTGAGGCCGACTGTCACGGCCAGGCAGGCAGTGGTGGAGCTGCTCACCTCCGCCAGCTCCCTGCACGCCCCCGTCACCTGGCTTCCCCTCAGGAGGCTCCGCCCCTCAGGGTCCGCCTCCCAGTAATGCCACAGGCTGGCCCCTAACCCTCAATGCACGGCCTTTAGGGAACATTCTGGATGTAAATCATGTCCAATCATCCATCCATCATCCACCCACCATCCGTCTATCCATCCGTATCACCCATCATGCATACATCTTTTATCTATCATGCACCCTTCCATCTGTCCACCGTCTACCCACCCATCCAGAGCAGGAGGCCAGGAGGTAGGAGCCCGGGCTGGATGCGGAAGTACAGCTCTGTTTAGCTATGGGAATGGGAGTGGCAGTGTGTGTGCACATGTGTGCACGCACGCACACACACACACACACAGAGCAGGTAGAACAAGGGGGTCAGGGCTGCCAACATGGTGTATATTTTTCCTCCACCGGAAACGAAACAGGAAGAAGCAACTTTCTGGAATGGGTGTTTCTGTTACTGAGACCACAGTTCTTGGCCAGCTCTGTTTAGGGGTACACTCCTTTAGTGCAAAATAAGGAGCCCATCAGATTCAGTTTTGCTTGTGTAATTGAAACACACATTTCCTCCATTTAGAGCTGTAATTGTGGGCAGCAGCCTGGTGTGGAGAGGCGCTGGGCGGGCGGGCTGCCCACACTTGCCACCAGTCCGTCTACCCCAGGCCACCTGCAGTGCGATTTCGTGTGTGGTTTAGATGAGGGGAAGACTCAGCCTGCTCAGGTAGCAAGGCGGCCATCTGGAGCTCACACCCAGCTTTCTCTGGCATGAAAGCTTAGTCATTTCCCATTGTACCATGCTCCTTCCCTGGAGAAAAGATAGTCTGGTCTTTCAAAAAAAAAAAAAATGCCGAGGAGGAATAAAAAGCTACTGCAAAGAGGCCAAAGTGAAATCAAGGAAGTGGGAGCGTAGAGAACCAGCCTCCTCCTTCCTGCATCCATCCGTCCATCCTTCTATCCATCATCTATGCATTCAGTATTCATATATCCTTCCGTCCATCCACCAGCCATCTATCCATCCACCGGCCATTACCCATACATCCTTTTATCTGTCATCTGTCCTTCCGTCCATCTATCCATCCATCCGTCCACCCACCCACCCATTACCTATTGAGGCAGCTGCGCTTCTTCCTCTACCCCGTCTGGGCTCTGCTGAGTTCGTTCCTTCCACACGAGGGCAGTCTCGGCAGGCGGGTGTGGCGGTCACCGTGCTTCCTGTTTGGAAGGAGTGGTTCTGGACTGGGCACAGGCTCCGTGCGCATAGGTTCTTAGGCAATCTTCATTCTAGATTCAGGCCCAGGTGCCGTGCATGTTGACTCATGCTGTCTTTATTCTAGATTCAAGCGCGGGCGCTGTGCCTGTAGGCTCTTGTGCTACTTCATTTAGCCACAGTCCTGCAGACAGGTCTTTCTGATTCTGTGAATGAGGAAATGATGGCCAAGAGTGGGGAAGGAGGTTCTCCAGGCTACTGGCAGGGTCCTCTTATCCCACAGGGCCTGAGCGGGGGCTCCCCATGGCCGCGGGGCCTGAGGCCAGGCTTCCCAAGTCTCATTGCACCAGGGCCCCCCACCCAGCACACATCCAGGTGACCGGAGCCTTCAGCAGGACGCACAACTCAGAATCCTGCCCTTTGCGCACCTCCTCCCTCCCGCCGCGGGCCCTCCCTGTCTGCTTCCCTCACGGAGAGACCGTGATGGGCTTCCCAGCTGCTGTCTCTGGGACTCCTCCTCCCTGGCGCCCCTGCCCCGTCCTGTGGGGCCCTCCTGCTCATGCACGCTCCTCGCCATCTTGCTCAACCTTGCGGCTTTCTCCTGCAGTCCCGGGCGCTCTGTCTTCCCCTCTTCACCCTGGGCTTCTTGTTGGTTCTTATGCCTGCTTGCCTCCGTGTTCTGTGAGCCCAGCCCAGGAGCCCGCATGCATTTCCCGCTGTGGCCCCAGAGTCCGGGGCGGCAGGAGGCCGGGCAGCACTGGTCTGACGAGTAAATGAGCCAGTGGACAGGGTCCACCTTCGTTGTGCCCCCCCCCCCCCCCCCGCCTTTCTCCTCACAGTGTAGTCCTCTGTTCCTCACAGGTGATCAAGGAAGCCTACAGCGGCTGCGGGGCCCCCTCAGAGCCAGAGTGCGCCCCCCTGCCCGGCGCGCCCGTGCACAAGGTGGAGCTGGAGAAGGTAAGGTGCCCCTCCCGGGGGGCTTTGCTCGTCTCTTTGCCTTCGTCAGTGATTCTTAGTGATCGTGCACATTCGAGAGCCGCAGTGTGAGGTTTCTGTACACACCGCCAGCCTCGGGCTTCTGTTTCGTTGCACCGAGAATGTTCATGTTGCTAAGAGTTCAACGCCGTTCTCTGGATGCTTCCATACTGCTGTTGGCAGGGAAGCCACGGCCCTCACTCCCTGGCCCCATGTGCTTCAGGGCCTATAGTCATCTCCCACATAGGGCTGCTTGTTTTGTTCCCCACGATGCAGGCAGGCATGGGCAGAGAGGGTGAGGGTCTCCTGTAAAGTCACGTAGCTATTCAGTGGGCCCCGATCAAGACTGGTTTCTTACAGAACACAACAGGAGCTTCATAACTGCGCCTTCCCAACGCTCGTCCTGGCAGGCCCCAGCTGCCTGCTCGCTCCCACTGTGAGGCAGAGCACCGGGCGGGGCTGCTGCCCCACCGCCTCAGAGGTGTGGAACCCGAGCTGGGCCCTGTGCCCAGTGCTGCTGCTTGTCTGCCTATAGCTGGGGACCTGGCTTTCCATGTGAAGTCTTCTCTACACACACACTACACACACACACACACACAGTATAAACACACTATATACACACACACACCTTGACCTCAGCAGTGGACAGGGTCTGCCGAGGAGCGTATTGGGCGTGTGCGGGGCAGGAGGAGACTTGGGCGGATTCAGGTCAGCCCCCGCAGTGTGGGCCACGGGCCGGGACCTGGGAGAGCGCACGGTGCCGTCTGTGCTGGGGAATTCCTCCTGCCCGGGGAACTCGAGCCTCCACCATGTTGGGGAGACACCCACACCGCGGAGGGAAGGGGCTTGTTCACAGTTCTTGGATTTTAGTCACCAGACAGACACACAAAACCAGCCATCGCAGCAATGGACTCTGACTACAAAACCTCTTCCTGCTCACTGTGGAGACCCCGGGAAGTTCTGAGAGAGAGAATTGGGGGACTATCCTCGAAGGCCGGGGTTCCGTGTCTCTGCTCGTTCCAAGGACTGCAGGGCACAGGGAGGAAGTTCCGTGGGTCATGGGAAGCGTTTTCACAGTCCTAACTGTTCCAGAACTGGGTGGAGCGTTGTGAGCTGCAGTCCTGGGATCCAGCCGCGCTCCTGGCCCTCCGTGTGCCCGGGCCTCGGCCCCGCCCTCCACGGGACCACTGTGAGTAACGTGGCCCTCGCATCCTTACAGAAACTGTCCTCGGAGAGACCCAGCTCCGACGGGGAGGGCGTCGTGGAGAATGGCGTCGCCGCGTGCAACGGGAAGGAGCAAGGTGAGTGTCGGCCCCGCCCCAGAGGACAGACGCGGTTCTGCGCAGGCACAGCCGCCGCCGCGCTCCCCGCACAGGCCCCTGTGTGTCTCGCGACGCGGCACTGGTCGCCCCTGCCACTCTGGACCCTGGCTGTCTTCACTCCTCCCCAAGGACTGTGTTGTCTCTGAGTCCTGCTCAGGCCCTGCTCCCAGTGACTTGACACCACTCGCTCCCTGCTCCTGGCGCCCCAGATGTCCCTGTGGACGTTGCGAGGGACGGCCTTTTGGGACTTGCTTGTTTCCCTGACTACGTGCTGTCGCCAGGGTCAGACTTGCCTTCTCCTTGTAGTCTTCTCAGGGAGGCTCAGGCTGGCCTGAAAAGCACCACTGAGCAGGATTCGCATCCTGGGTCAGCATCCCGGGATTCTCTTCCACTTAGCTCTCGCAGTCCCTCTGACAACTTTATTTCCTGCTGACTTCCCCTGCGTTTTATGAGCTCTAGTGTAGGGGTTTTGAGTTTTGTTGTTTATTTGTTTTTGGGTGCTGGTCCTGGGGCTTGAGCTTTTTTGTTCAAGTCTACTGCTCAAGCCACTTCTGGTTTTTAGTGGATAATGAGATAAGAATCTCACAGACTTTATTGCCCTGGCTGGTTTCCAACCTTGACCCTCAGATCTCAGCCTCCTGAGTAGATAGAATTAAAGGTGGGAGCCTGGCCAGTGTCTATTTATTTGTATTTTTGATGCTAATCGTGGAGCTTGATCTCCAGCTGAGGGCTGTCCCTGAGCTCTTTTGCTCAAGGCTTGAGCTCTAACACTTGGAGCCACAACACCATCTCTAGTTTTCTGGTGATTAATTGGAACTAATGATTCTCGCAGACTTTCCTGCCCCAGCTGGCTTTGGACAGCGATCCTCAGATCTCAGCCTCCTGAGTAGCTAGGTTATAGGCGGGAGCCATGAGCTCCCACCCAGCATCTGTTTTAAACTGGGCTGGGTAGCACTACAAACTGCACCGTGAATCTGCCTCTTTTGGCCTGCTATCTCATGATCTGGGGTAGCACTTCTAGGCCTGTAGCATCAGCACAGTTAACATGGTACAGGTCACAGGACTACTGCCCTAAATGTCCCCGTGTTCCCCATGGCCACCTCTGCCTCTGAGCACCCTGGCCTAAGAGCTGCCCAGCTGGCCCCGCTGCACGGAACTGAGGGGCGTGGCCTCTCCGTGGTGGCAGTGGTCGGGGATTGCCGGGCGGGGCGGGCTCTGGCATGGCCCCTCCTGTCACCGGGCCAGGCTCCCCTGTGTGCAAGGACTCCCGCTGGGCACCTCGCGCCAGGCCGGGGGCGTCTGGGCAGTTGTGATGCTTCTGTTTGTGTGCACGTGTGTCTGTTTGTGTGCACGTGTGTGTCCTCGTGTTCCCCAGCCAGCTGCAGGCGTGGGATTGCCAGGTCCCGTAGATTCACAGTGAGGACGGCCTCTTCTGTTCCGCCGTTCTCGCCCCTCAGCCGTTCACTTGCACCTGAGGCTTCCCTGGCGACTCGTGATCTTGCACACCTGCAAGGTTCTGGTAACGGAGGCCCTTGCCTGCATCCACGTCAGGTCACTGAATGCACGTCCTTTATCAGACGTGTGTTTGGCACAGATCGTCTCTAGGCTGTGGCTAGACTTCCCTCTGAGTGTGCCCAGTGGGTGGTGGAGGGCGCGTGTGCTCTGCTTGGACCTGTGACCTCGACTTCCTACCTGGAAAGCACGGCGCAGGCAGTCTGACCGGCAGGGCTGGAGTTCATGCGGGGGGTCACACTGTCTGCTCCCTGGTTGCGGCTTTCCGGCTCTGTCTGACCTGAGTGTATTTTAGTCCTGTCGCCCAGAAGCACTGAGTGGAAGGTATTATCTGTGCCTTCCATGGGTGAATTATGTATAATCAAAACAGGAAAGTGCTTTCTGAGTTTCGCCCTGCAGTAAAATAACATGCAATCTCCACATCCTTGCTTGGCTGTTTTGTTTAGAGTTCTCTTGTTTTGAGGTGGCGGTCTCCCTGTGTTGCTCACTTGAATGGGGGCTCCCAAGTAGCTGGAATAGCCTGTGTGCATCACCATGCATGGGCCTGCTTCGCCGTGGGCGTGGAGTGGGTACTTCTTTGTTTCTGTGTTCTCTGTGTTATTTCACCGCTGCACATCTGTGTGGGAGTAGCGTCTGAATGCGCACCTGTCATATTACCTGCACTGAGAATTCTCCTGTTCCCTGCTACTCCTCTCCTGGGGCTTGAACTCAGGGCCCGAGTGCTATTCCTAAGCTCTTTTATGCTCAGAGCCACAGCTCTCCTGGCTTTTTGTGGGTTATTTGGAGATAAGAGTTTCATAGACTTTCCTGCTTGGGCTGGCTTTGAACCGTGATCCTCAGACCTCAGCAACCTCTGAGGTAGCTGCGCACTTACCCAGCCTTACTGGTGCCCCCTTTTAACGAGAATGCCCTCTGTGCTTTGGGACGTAAAGGCAAGCTGGTTCAGACCTTTCCCCGGCCAGGGCTGTGTTCTCCGCTCCGCGGCCCACATACAGCGATTGCACCTTAACTTCCCCCAGCTTCCTTCGGGCTGTTCGCCCCGGGCCACTTCTCTGTGGTGGGGTCTTAGCTGAGCTTCCAAGCTGTACCTGCTTGATCGTGCCTCACACAGCATTCTCTGGCCGCCAGAGGAAGCCTGAGCACCCTCATTTTGTTTGATGTCCGAGTCTGGTGAAGGTAGCGACTGATCTGGGTGGAGCCTCTCCCTGCTCCAAGGGGATCCTGTGTCCCAGACACGGTGCAGAGTCAGGTCCTGGCGCCAGCCCCCCGGGTGCTGAGTGTCTCTGCAGAATTGTGCGTGCTAGCTGATCTGCGCGAAGCCTCGGGGGTCCTTCCCAGCCGACGTCGGAACGTGGGCACCCTCACTCTGTGGAGAATAAGGAGCCTCGGGATTATATTTAGGTATTCGTGGGGTGCGTATGGGTTCACAGTGTGTGGTGTCGGCCGCCTCCGCCGCTCCTTCCCACCTCACCTGCCGCGTGGACGGTCGTGCACCTTCACCGAGTTGAGAGTGGTGGAGTTCCACAGTGTGTGCGAAATAGCCCTGAGAGGTTCTAGGTGCTTCCTTCTCCTGTTCTTTCTCCTGTCCGTTCTGCATTCTCCTCTCACTCGGGGAAGCAGAGATGTTCCTTGCCGAGGTCAGAGGTCAGAGTCCTGGTGGGCAGAGCCAGGCCAGGGCTGCCAGGGCTGCCCTGGTGGGCGGGCACCTTTGTGGCCCTTCCAAACAGAGGCTCCCTGCAGGAGCGGCTGGAGGGGCCGCGCCCCGGCTTAGTGTCCAGGGTTTCTTGAGGCCGTGGTCTGCTGTATGGTAACAGGAGCGCGCCAGGGCTGCGGAGCGCTCAGCACGGCGGCCGCCACAGAGCCACGGCTGTGATGTCTGCGCAGAGCTCTGGGCGCTGAAGCCGGGGGCCAGGTGGCCGCAGGGCTGTGTGCTGAGGCCTCTCCTCCTCCTTGAAGAAAGATGTCCCTCAGTCATGTCCTCATGCGGCCGTGAGAACCTGCAGATCCCTCCGCCCCAAACGCAGACCTGCAGCTGTGCCCGCCTCACGCACCGCCTTCTCTCATCTCCCTCCCGAGGACCGCCCGGCCGCAGCAGGCCTCCTGGGGTCTCAGCCCCACCCCACAGGACAGGTGGGGAGTGGAGGAGAGCATCTCCTGAGACAGGAGCGACACCCTCTGGGCTGCTGGATGGAGGTTGCAAGTGGACAGTCAGGCTGACTGAGGGGGGCTGTGCCTGTGTCCTGACTGAGGGGCTGTGCCTGTGTCCTGACTGAGGGGCTGTGCCTGTGTCCTGACTGAGGGGCTGTGCCTGTGTCCTGACTGAGGGGCTGTGCCTGTGTCCTGACTGAGGGGGGCTGTGCCTGTGTCCTGACTGAGGGGGGCTGTGCCTGTGTCCTGACTGAGGGGCTGTGCCTGTGTCCTGACTGAGGGGCTGTGCCTGTGTCCTGACTGAGGGGGGCTGTGCCTCTGTCCTGACTGAGGGGCTGTGCCTGTGTCCTGAATGAGGGGGGCTGTGCCTCTGTCCTGACTGAGGGGCTGTGCCTCTGTCCTGAGGGGGAGGGGGCGCAGCGGCTGTGCCTCTATGCTGTTCAGACAGGAGCAAGAAAGGAGGCTGCAGCTTCTCCCAGATTTTCCAAGAAACATGTGTATGCTCAGGGTCTCTAATTCCTCCAAGGGTTTGTGTTGCCCCAAAGCTGGCCCACGCAGGGTTGGGGTGCTGGGGGAAGAAGGGAGGGTGACAGGGGCTTGACTTGGATTCAGTCGCAGCCCAGGGAGCCCCTGTGGCGGAGGAGGGTCCCACAGCTTGGGCCCTAGGAGCCTGGGCCAGCTCACCTTGTCCACAGGTGAGAAGCTGTGCCCCTCCACCCCACACCGCAGCCCCAGCCTGCGTCCTCGCTCCACCGGGTGCAGAGGAAGCCTGAGGGCAGGACGGGGCGCCAGGGGCTGAGCCGGGGCTGAGCCAGGGCCGGGCACCACAGCGGCGACACGCCTCCGTGGCTGGCAGGCTGTCCTGCGTCAGAGCTCCTGTGAGCCCGCCGCCCACCTGGGCGCGTCCCGCGATGCGCATCCTCCGTCAGGCTCACCATGTCTCCAGATGCTCAGCACGAGCACCGGAGCACCGTGGTGCGTGACGTTCCTAGATTTATATACCACCTGTTAGTTCCCAGCTGAGCCACATCTGGAAGTCAGGGGCTGGCCCAAGAGCACTGGACAGTGCAGGGAGGAACAAGTGTCCTGTGGACGAGAGCCCCAGGGAGGCGCCAGTACCCCCACAATCGCCCCGTGCTCCCGGGTCCCAGTGCAGCCCCTGCCGGCATGGCACCCAAAGTGAAGAGCACGTGGTGCTGATACGCTGTCTTCATGTCCCCCGTCAGCGAGCATCCACAGCTAACTTGTTGTTATTGACAGTGAAGAGGAAGAAGAGCTCCAAGGCGGAGGCCAAGGGAACTGTCTCCAAGGTCACCGGGAAAAAAATCACCAAGATCATTGGGCTGGGGAAGAAGAAGCCATCCACTGACGAGCAGACCTCCTCGGCCGAGGAGGACGTGCCCACCTGTGGTAAGACCCCCCAGACACCTGGCTTGGAGGAGGGGCCTCCTGATCATGGGCTGGCTTGGAGGAGGGGCCCCTGGTCGTGGGCTGGCTTGGAGGAGGGGCCCCTGGTCGTGGGCTGGCTTGGAGGAGGGGCCCCTGGTCGTGGGCTGGCTTGGAGGAGGGGTCCCTGGTCGTGGGCTGGCTTGGAGGAGGGGCCTCCTGGTCGTGGGCCGGTCTGGGGTGGGACTCTCGTCCTAGCACTGCAGCCGGCTTAGCTGGGGAAGGCTGGCGGCAACAGTGCCATTGGGAGGAGAGAAGCAGGGCACTGGTACCGTGTCCCTTCCACCCCTCGCTCTGCCAGGAGTTCAGGACCCAGCTGCAGGCTGCCGCTCAGCCGAGGCAGAGCTATGACAGAGTGGAAAGGTCCTGGAGGCCTCCATGTGCCCGCTGTGGCCTCGGCCTTCCTGGACACTGGGTGGCGTGGCTCACCCTCCCTCTTACAGCCCTGAGACAGGTCGGGAGTTTTTGTTTTCTTTTTCTCATATGGTGACTTGAACTGAGGCCCTGGGCATTGTCCCTTAGCTTTTTCACTCAAGGCTGATACGCTACCATTAGAGCCACAGCACCACTTCCAGCATTTTGGTAGTTAATTGGGGACAAGAGTCCTGCTTGGGCTGGCCTTGAACTGCGGTCCTCAGATCTCAGCCTCTCCTGAGTTTGTCCTTCCATAAGGACAAATTGCACACTGATAAGGAAGGCAATTCAGAGACTGCACAGACCCTCCTTGGGTGAACAGGGCACGGACCCTCAGCGGATGGTGATTGAGAGCAGGGCTGGCCCAGTCCACGCAAGACGCCTGTGACTCAAGCCGCCTCACCTCCGTGTCTCCAGAGAGCTGCTCACTGACACTCTGCTGTGTTCTGAGCCCTAGCAGAGGATCCCCAGGGCATGTCCATGGTGTGTGCTTGTGCACACGTGCGTTTCCACCAGCCTCTGTGCATACCCTCCTCCTTTCCCCCAACCTAAAGCTGTCCCCAGCTCTGCTAGGCAAGAGTGAAGAGCGGCTCCAGGCACACAGGACCGTGATTGTTTTCAGCCAGCTCGGTGGAGTGGGAGGGGTTCAGGCAGAGGAAAGAAACTGGGCTCAGGCCCAGGGCACCAAGCCGAGCCTCTACAGCTGCAGCCTCCACTCCGGGGATGCTGAGCAGAGCGGCCGGCTGGAAGGGCAGAGCAGCTGGGCAGGCCGAAGACGCCGAGGTGCGCGTGCGTGGGCCTTGCCGGGGAGGGCAGGCTCCCCGCCGGGCTCCTGGCGTTGGTTGCTCAGACTGCGCCTGGCTGGACCCCCTGCTCTGCAGCATCAGCCGTGGCTGTCCTGTGCCCGGCCTCCTTTGAGGAGTTGCCGTGGATTCAGTCAGCTTCCCACACAGCCCCTGGTGGTGACCAGACACAAGCGAGGTCTCCCCAACCACAGTGTGAGTGCTGTGGGCCCTGCGCTCACGGGTCCTGAGGACCACTCCACACCCACGAAGCTGTTGGGTCAGGACTGCACCCCGTCCTCCCATGGTCAAGGCCAGCACCCCAGACGATGTCACCCAGGCTTTGTGTGTGTGTGTTGAGGCTTGAACTCAGGGCCTGGGTGCTGTCCCTGGTTTTTTTTCCTCTCAAGTCTGGTGCTCTGCCACTTCAGACATGGTGCTACTTTCAGCTTTTCACTGGTTAATTGGCGGTAAGAGTCTCACAGACTTTGCTGCCCAGGCTGGCTTTGAACCCAGACACTCAGATCTCAGCTTCCTGAGTAGCTCACATTGCAAGCGTGAGTCGCCAGGGCCTGGCTCACCCAAGCTTTTGAAACCAACCACAAATTGCTAAGCCCCAAGCCCCATGCAGGACCACAGGAGCTGTGTCAGGAGCGGCCTAGACGGTGGGCTTGGCGGGGTCTGCATGATCTGGTGGACATCTCCCCTGTCGCATGGCCTCCTGCCGTGGACATTCCGGTGACAGCATAGGCTTCTTACGCAGCACTCTGTGTGGTTCAGGTACCCCCCACCAACCCAGGAGCCCATATTGGGCTGGCACGCGAGGCCCTCTGCCCCAGAGGCCAGGGGGAGGCAGTAGTGAGCTTGGTGGCCCCTGTGGGCGTTGCGTGATATGACACACGTGTCTCACACTGCCCCTCCCGGCCCCACCCCTGCCAAGACAACTCCAAGTTACTCATTGGGATGGAGCGGCTCTCAGAGGTAAGGTTTGGCCGCTCGTGACCTCTGGGCACACTCTGTTGGGCGGCTGTTGGTTCCCTCTCGGAGGTGAACAGGCCCTACAAGCTGCCTGCCTGCCTCTCCACAGCCACTGGAAGCCAACTGCTGCCTCTGCAGGCGCTTCGGCGTGGTTTATTTACTCTCAGGCCTGTAGGTTAACTTTAGGGTTCTGCTGAAATGTTCTTGTAACATGGCTGAGGAAGTTCTTGCTTTAGAATTTGGAGCAGAAATCATTTCAAAATATTGAACCAAGGGCACGGAGGCATGGCCCAAGTAGCAGAGTACCAACCTTGAGTGAAAAAGTCGAAGCAAGTGTAGGAAGCCCTGAGACCAAGTCACAAAAGCCACATTAAACGGAAATTCCCAAGGTTTTAGGCTACGGTGAGTAGCACCCTGTAGTACACGGGACCAAACAAACTGCACAAAACCCGAGCCTCGGCCGGTGTGGCAGGTCTGGGGGCGGAGTTCACCGGGAGAGCCCTGCTGCGTAGGCCGGTCGACTCGCCCCCTGGTGGCAGAGGTGTGCTCCAGCGTGAAGGACCGGGGAGCTGAGCTGGATTCACTCACGAGCCAGGCTTGGGGGTTGGGTGGAGAGGATCCTGAGATAGTGCAGTCCCTCTACCTCCCCTCTCGGGTGCTCTGCCATTTTCCTGCCTGGCCCCTCCCTTCTCGGTGTTTTCTCCCCAGAAGATGGCTGCTTGGGGTCCCCAGCTTTCTCAGGTAGTGAGGCCCCCTGGGCTGTGCGGGGCAGAAGGGGGATCAGTGGCCGAGGAGGGCGCGCTGTCCCAGATGTCCTGTCTACGCTAGCAAGTCCACTGTCCAGGGCTGTATGCTTTATTCTATTTTCCCTTTCTTAAACTGAACATGTCTGAAGTGTTAAGACCTGGCATTCCCTGGTCTAAATAGGGCAAACCTCTGTGGCTGGCATATCAGGAAGCGCCAGCTCTGGTTGGTGGGTGGTGCTCGGTGACCCCGCCCTGCAGGACCGTGTGGGAGGGGCTTGGAAGCCCCAAGCCCAAGTCTGCCTTCCCATGGCTTCGGCCCTGCTCGGGTGTTGGCTGCTCCTGAGAACAACCTGGCCTCCCGTAGGCCTGTTCGGTGGTTATCTGAAAGCTGCCCTCCTGTCCCAGCCTCTAACGCTGGTCACCCACTGCCGTGTTCTCAGGGCTGCACGGAAGCCCTGGGCACGAGAGCTGGTCCTTGGAGCTGTTGGGGCTCCCGCCAGCACCGTTGCCCACCCTGTTCCTTTGGAGCTGTCCTCTAATTTTTTCTGGGAACTTGCATTGAAAACTTGCTGTGTGGGTGGGGCGTGTTTTATATCCACGGCCGCGCCAAGGAGGCCAAGCCGGGGACCTGGCAGGACCCCTCCCCATCTGGGAGGCCACCACGCGCTGTCCCTGTCCCCGCAGGCTACCTGAACGTGCTGTCCAACAGTCGCTGGCGGGAGCGCTGGTGCCGGGTGAAGGACGGCAAGCTGGTGCTCCACAAGGACCGGACGGACCTGAAGACCCATGTGGTCTCCATCCCGCTCCGCGGCTGCGAGGTGACCGCCGGCCTGGACTCCAAGCACCCGCTCACCTTCCGGCTGCTCCGCAACGGGCAGGAGGTGGCCGTGCTTGAGGTGCGTGTCCCAGGGTGCGCAGGCCCCCAAGCCGCGTGACCCCTCTGGAGCATGTCCCAGGGTGTGCGTGGGCCCCAAATCCAAGTGACCCCTCTGGAGAGTGTTCCGGGGTGCGCGGGCCCCCTAGCCGCGTGACCCCTCTGGAGAGTGTCCCAGGGTGCGCATGGGCCCCCAAATCCGTGTGACCCCTCTGGAGAGGGTCCTGGGGTGCGTGTGGGCCCCCAAGCCACATGATCCCTCCGGACCATGTCCCGGGGTGCATGTGGGTCCCCAAATCCGCGTGATCCAGCACCGGAGCTGGCCATCTTCCCGCACACCACCGGCTCTGTTACCCGCTGCCCTTCTCCCAGTTCCTCTCGGGTTTGGAGAGAGGCGGGCGGGCCCCACAGCCCCGAGCTGCCAGCGTTGGCCATATTGCCCATGTTGGGTTTGCTGCTGCTTCCCTCTGCTTGCACGGAAGTTACATGACACAGTTCCACGCGAGGACATCTGTCCCAAGTGTGGGAACATCTGGTTGTAAACTTCTTTGTTCCTTACGACTGGCTGCCTTTGAGCTGTGCCAGGTGCCCCTTTTTCTCTGTTCCTCATGGAGCAAGTGTTTGGGGGCCACCTGACACCCTACAGGTAGAACCACGAGCCAGACTTCTCACGGGTGGAAGAGTAGACCCTGACTTCATGTGCCAGCATCACATTCCTTGTGTGGCTGCTTCTCGTTACAATAATACAGAGATGCACACGTATGCGTGTACATGTGGACCTAGTGACTCCCGCCTGCTAAAGTGTGGTGCCACTGAGCCACAGCCCAGCCCCAGTCCACACTCATGACTTGATTTTGGGGAAGGACAGAAACCTGTGTGCATGCGTGTGCATTTGGGGGGTTTCTTGGAAGGTTACAGATCTTCTGGCACATATGAGGTCTGGGCGTTTAGAGTTTGATCTGGATGTACGTGCAGACAGAGGCAACACTTTGTGGGTTAAATAGGTTTTAGAAATACTAATCGTTAATTGTTACATTTTATTTAGCTATTTTTGCGTTTCATTGTTATTATAAAAGTCATGTACAGCTGGGCACTGGTGGCTCAAGCCTGTAATGCTAGCTACTCAGGAGACTGAGATCTGAGGATCACAGTTCAAAGCCAGCCTGGGCAGGAAAGTCCATAAGATTCTTTATCTCCAATTAACCTGGAAGTGGTAGAGTGCTTGCCTTGAGCTGAAGAGCCCAGGGACAGCGCCCAGGCCCAGAGTTCAAGCCCCATGACCAACAACAACAAAGAAAGTGATGTACACAGGGGTAACAGGTACATAAGTCAGTGTGTGCCTGTTTTGGTGGTACTAGGGTTTGACCTAGGCCTTGCGCTGGCTGAGCGGACGTCTTGCCGCCGGAGTCACTCCTAGCCTTTTTTGCTTTAGTTATTTTCAAGTAGGTTCTTGGAGTTTTGACCCAGGAGCCTTGGGCCGCAAGCCCACAAGCCTCTGTACAGTCGGATGACAGACACCCACTGCCACGCACAGATTATTTGTCCAGATTCCCCGGGCTGCTACAAATCTTATTCCTCCTCATCTCTGCCTCCTGAGTAGCTGTGATTACAGGCCTGAGTCATACCGCCTGGCCACATTTGTGCTTTTTGAAATTGCAAGTTGCCGTGTCAATTTGCTGTCATCTGCAGCCCCAGACTCATGCTCACTCTCTGGGATGCACAGTCAGATCTATATCCCCCCCCCCCCCCCCCCCCGTTTGCCCTGCTGGCCACAGTGGCTTGTGACTTGGAGGTGGCAGTCACCAGCCAGCATCAACCACACCAGCGTCTTCCTGCCACTGGCACGTTCTCAAAAGGACTGGTATGTGGTATGGAAAAGAAGGGTCCATTCAACGTATTGATCACTTTTTAAATTTCCTTCTTTTTTACTTTCTTGTGCCAGTGCTAGGACTTGAACTGAAAGCCTTTCACTGTTGCTTGGCTGTTTTGGCTTGGGTGTGATGCTCAACCCCTTGTGCACAGCTCTACTTCTGGCTTTCTGCTGGTTAATTAGAGATAAGAGTCTTATAAACTTTCCTGCCCGGGCTGACTTTGAGCCATGATCCTCAGATCTCAGCCTCTTGAGTAGCTAGGATGACAGGCGTGAGCCGCCGGCGGCGCCCGGCCTTAGCGAGTGTAATCTTAGGGATATATTTCAGACTTGCCACCATGTTGAAGATGGCTCCACAAGGCCATCTGGATGGTGGGCAGCATCTTGGCTGTGGAGGCACAGCCAACACGGAGGTGATTTTGTCCCCTCTGCCCAGGAGAAGAAGCAGGGCCACTCTGGCAGGTCGCGTCTGTATCACCGTCCACAGCCAGCCTTGGTTGACAAAGGAAGGAGGCTTTCTAACCCCCTTTCCCTAGCTGAGACTTCACTGCGGACGTGAACTTCCTGCCTCACCCTGCGGCCATCAGAATTGCTCAGATTGTCTTCACCCAGGGTGACTGGGACCCTGGCTTTCCCCGTTAGACAGACCGACAGACAGACAGAGACACACACACAGATTGTCTTCACCAAGGGTGACTGGGACTTTGGCTTTCCCTGTTTGTTATACACACACCCAGACACACACACACACAGATTGTCTTCACCAAGGGTGACTGGGACCTTGGCTTTCCCTGTTCGTTATACACACACCCAGACACACACACACACACACACACACACACACACACACACACACACACACACACACACACACACACACACACACACACACACACACACACACAGATTGTCTTCACCAAGGGTGACTGGGACTTTGGCTTTCCCTGTTCGTTATACACACACCCAGACACACACACACACACACACACACACACCCAGACACACACACACACACACACACACACACACACCACAGATTGTCTTCACCAAGGGTGACTGGGACCTTGGCTTTCCCTGTTCGTTACACACACACCGGCTGGGTTGCTCCCTTCCTGGGACAACATGGTAACACTTCTTGTGCAAGCAGTTGTCTGTGGTTGAAGAGAACACGCTGTTCCTGCACAGGCGGCGTCTTCGGAGGACATGGGCCGATGGATCGGGATCCTGCTGTCTGAGACGGGCTCGTCCACGGACCCGGGAGCCCTGCACTACGACTACATAGATGTGGAGATGTCGGCAAACGTCATCCAGACTGCCAAGCAGACCTTCTGGTGAGACCCTGGGCATTAGACAGCAAGCCCAAGACCTTCCCTTTGCTGTGGTGGTCCTCTAGATTTTGCTGAAATATTTGGTCACTTCTTCCCTCTGAGATGTCCTGTAGTGCAAGACTTGGCCAACTTGCTGGGGAAACGACCCGGTAGTAAACACTGATTTTGTTGGCCAGATATCGGCAGTTAGTTACACGCGCCCAGCTCCACTGTCGCAGGCAAACTTAATACATAACAGAAAAATGGATGTGTCTGTGTTTCAAGAAAACTTTATTTGCAAAACAAGCAGAGGGCTGGGTTTGGCCTATGGGCTGGAGAGGAGGAGGTGCACCACGTAGAAATTATTCTGCACGTTGCCGTAAGAGGACTGAGCTGTGAAAGTGTCTTTCTAGTGTTCTGAGTTTGAATTGAATTGTGGCTTTGCAAAATGGTGCGTTGTGCAAAAACATTCTCCCGAACTGTGGTTATTTCCTTAAGAAAATGTCAGGAACCTGGACAGCAGCAGCTAGGTGTGGTCCACAGATGCCCAACAGGGTGTCTAGGACCCACCTTCCAGATACCCGCAATGTGACCTCCAGGGTGTTCGGGGCGTCCCTGGTGTGTCCGCGCACTGTGACCAGAGCTCGCAGCAGCAGTTCAGAGGCACTGCTGGACCCAGGCTGACCTCAGTGCAGCAGACGATAGTCTTTTTTTTTTCTCTGTGGAACTTAGCCGAACTTGGCATCTACCATTCTGAGACTGCTGCAGGCAGCTGGGCGTGGTTCATACGGTAGTCAGCCAGGTCTGGACAACAGGAGTTCTGCCTCAGCTGGTGGTGTGGGCACCAGGGTGGCTGGGCCTGGGTGCTGTCCCTGAGCTCCTCTTGCTCAAGGCTAGCCCTCTAAGCTTGAGCTATACTCACTTCTAGCTTTTTCTGTGACTAATTGGAGATAAGAGACTCAAGAGCTGGCTTCCAACCATGATCCTCAGATCTCAGCCTCCCGAGTAGTTAGGCCAATAGGTGTAAGCCACCAGTGCCCTACTTCCTCTTCATTTTCTTCTCCCTCTTGTGTTCTTCCACGTTTGCTTCTGTGTACCTTCAGCGTGCCAGAAGCCGGTAGCTAGGGGGAGAGGCGTGTGCATGCCGTCCTTTGCCAGCAGGGGGCAGTGGTGCTTTCTGCAGGACAGGCTCAGAGCTCCAGGGTGTGCTGAGAGGCCGTTTTCACCTTATCCCCTAACTCCTCTTAACACTCCGCTTGTTTTTTTTAATCTGGGAAGACACAGAACTAGTAAGGGAGAACTGCTTTCCTGTGTGATTTTTATCTCTGGCTGTGTTGGGAGCAGAAGATCTGTTTGCTCCAGGCTCTTTCTTCCCTGGGAGCCAGGCTGTCTGCTGTCTGCGCCGCCAGCCTCACGGGCAACTTGTGTGTGGAGGCGTCTCACCAGATCTGCACAGGCCACCAGCGTCCTGCAGTGGACCAGCAGATGGACAAGCTAAGACACACTGGGGGGTGGGGAGAGCCAGGGGACAGGCAAAGGGGAAAGGGAGGGGCTGCTGGACAGGGAGGCCGAGACACAGGGTGCTGGTCCTGGGCTTGAATTCAGGGCCCCGGGCTGCCCCTGAGCTTTTGCAATCAAGGCTGGAGCTCTGTCACTTGAGCCACAGCTCTACTTTCAGCTTCTTGATGGTTGATTGGAGAGAAGAGTCTCGGATTTTCCTGCCCAGGCAGGATCTGATCCTCCTAAGAAGCTGGGGTCACAGGTGTGAGCTACCAGTGCCTTGAAGTTCTGAGGCTCTCGTTGAGCCTGACCGTGGCCAGCAGGGGAGCAGGAAGCAGGGTCTGCGGCGTTCTTTGTGGGAGCAGCATTTTGGTTTTCTTAGGTGACTTAGGAGTCAGCTGGTCCACTGTGTGAGACCCAGAGGCACGTACTGTCCTCCCCTCCCCCCACCCCCACCCCTGCCCACAAGCTGAGCACTCTGCACCCCCCCCCAACCATGCACGCACGCACCAGCCGTAGGGCCGGGGTGGGGGCTGCAGCACACCTCGGTCAGTCCCAGGCTGGGGACTCTGTCCCAGCACTGCAGGTGACATCTGTAGTCGGGTGCTCTTTGAGTCGAGTATGCACTAGCTCACAAGATGGCAGGACACAGGCCCTGCCGGTGTGTGAGGATGGGCTGGAGCCGTGGCTGGAGCGCAGGGGAGGGCAGGGGTGGGGCAGGCCCGCGGGCCCTCCCTGTGCCCCCTCAGCTGGTGCCCTGCTCCGTGGGGCGACGTGGCAGCCAGCCTTCAGACTTCCCTGCAGCCTCGGGGGCGGGGCCAAAGTGCTCGTAATGATGACAGAAATGGTGGAATTCCAGGTTAGGGGTGCTGGGCAAGGGCCTGGAGACCCAAATGCACATCTGGTCACCTCATGGAGTCTCATCTGTGAAGGGTGTGGTGGAGCTGCTGGACGCTGAGCTGGCTCAGCTGCGCCAGGCTCAGACACAGCTGAAGAGTGTAGCAAACAGGCCTAAGAACTTTGCAGAAAGGCCCGTGTCTGTCAGCCTTTTCAGGCATGTGTGCGCAGGGCAGCCCCTCTGCCGACTGCTGGGCTCCTCATACCAAGTCCCCGTCCCTGCGGTCAGGCCAGGCAGCTGGCCTGCCCTCCCCGGGGCCCTGACCGCCCCTCCCCCTTCCCGGGCAGACGCCGGCGCCCCTGGGCCTCCCTCCGCTGTGAGCTGAGGAGGGGACAAAGCCACCGCCCCCGGACCCTGACCGCCTGCCTCCCCCCCCCCCCCCGCCCTGACCTACCCCCCCCCGCCCTGACCGACCCCCCCCCTGCCCTGACCGCCTGCCTCCCTCCCCCCGCCCTGACTGACCCCCCCCCCCCGCCCTGACCGCCTCCCCCCCCCCCCCGACCGCCCCCTCCCTCTCTCCGCAGCTTCATGAACAGGCGCGCCGTGTCCGCCAGCCCGTACGTGGGGAGCACCTCCAACGGCTACGCCCACCCCAGCGGGGCCGCGCTGCACTATGACGACGTCCCCTGCGTCAATGGCGCGGTGAGTGCCTGCCCGCACCGCGGCCTCCGCCCGGGGCCCGCGCCTTCCACCAAGCAGCTTCTCTGGTTGGCCAGCAAGCGCGGCTCGGGCCCTGGCCGCTGCCACCCGCAGGGTTCCTGGACGTGGGACGGGAGGGCAGCAAGCCCCCCACCCCGAGGGTGCCCTGGCTCTGGCCATGTACACTGGACACCCAGCCCAAGGTATCTTCTAAACGGAGGCGAGCAGTGCCTCCAGGGCCAGATGTTTTAGGCTCTTCTTTCCTTACTGCTTTGCTTCTCACTTCCCCGGTATTCTGAAGTCCCTTCCTGCAATGTGTTGTCAGGAAGTCCGCCCCATGGAGGCCTGAGGGAGGGGAGGCTGGAGCTCAGGCGCCCCCGGGCTCCAGTCAGGGCGGAAGTTCTTCTGTGGCCTATTCCCTGTGCACCACCCCAGCCCTGCCTGCTCCCACCACCCCAGCCCTGCCTGCTCCCACCACCCCAGCCCTGCCTGCTCCCACCACCCCAGCCCTGCCTGCTCCCACCACCCCAGCCCTGCCTGCTCCCACCACCCCAGCCCTGCCTGCTCCCACCACCCCAGCCCTGCCTGCTCCCACCACCCCAGCCCTGCCTGCTCCCTGTGCCACCACCCCAGCCCTGCCTGCTCCCACCACCCCAGCCCTGCCTGCTCCCACCACCCCAGCCCTGCCTGCTCCCTGAGCCACCACCCCAGCCCTGCCTGCTCCCACCACCCCAGCCCTGCCTGCTCCCACCACCCCAGCCCTGCATGCTCCCACCACCCCAGCCCTGCCTGCTCCCACCACCCCAGCCCTGCCTGCTCCCACCACCCCAGCCCTGCATGCTCCCACCACCCCAGCCCTGCCTGCTCCCTGTGCCACCACCCCAGCCCTGCCTGGTCCCTGTGTCTCCACCCCAGCCCTGCCCGCTCCCACCACCCCAGCCCTGCCTGCTCCCTGTGCCACCACCCCAGCCCTGCCTGCTCCCACCACCCCAGCCCTGCCTGCTCCCTGTGTCGGCCTGCCCTCCGCGCCGGCCTGTGTCAGCAGGTGAACTCCTTGGTGGGCTTCCTTTGCAATTTCAGACCCAGACCTGGTATTTAATGTGCTTCCCACTGCTCACCGGGATGGAGTCAGAGTGCACACATGCACTTCTAGTCTAGAAACTTGGGCCACTGTGTCCTAAGTTGTCTGTGTGACTTCACCCTCGGTGTCTGAGGAGAGCAGTAGTCTGGTCTAGACTGTTACGAGCGCTGGATGAATACACCCGAGGTCCTCACGGAACGCTGGCACCCATTTATCTGCGCTGTTTTTAGGTTGCACAGAGTCCCCAACGTGCCCAAAACAGACGCGCTGAAGTGATCACAAAGCCATAAAAACCTTTCCTATTTTTGCCACAAAAGGCTGTAATTACAGTCGGGAGAAAGGACTGCTGCGAGATATAAAAATAGGGAAATGAGCAGAACACATGAATTAATATTTCCTTTTTAAAGTGCCCGGCAATTTAAAGCCTAAAATACCTTGGGGGTGGTTGGTGGAGTGGCGGCTTGCTTTGTACCTGTGTCTGCCCCTGAGTGCCTTTGTCTGCCGTGGCTCGCCTCTGTTCGGGACCTGCCCTGCCGGTGCTGCTGCTCTCCACCCACCTTCCCCACGGGGCTTCAAATGCCTAAGTGTGACCTGGGGCACGCTGACAGCGACCAGGAACTAAAGTCTCCACGCTTGAGCGGGCTGTGGGGAGCCTCGGTGGGCTCTGAGCCCTGGCCCCCCAGAACCATCTGAGGCTCAGCGGCAGCCTGGCCCCCAGCCGTTGGGGGCTCTGCCCAGCGCGCCCTCTCGCTCACTGTGTGGCTGACCTCAGCCTCAGCTTCCTCCCCTCCAAGGCTGGCTCGAGCTAAGGAACAGCGAGAGCAGAGCGTGGGTGCAGAGGCGTGGGTGGAGCCTTCCTTGGGTCACATCCCCGCGTGCGCCGTCACCACCCCTCCTTATTTCTGTCACGCTCTGTCCAGTCTCAAGGCTCAGATCAACATCTCCTTTCTGCTTTGAAGAATCAGCAAAACAAAGCACGTTCTTATCCAGTGACCTAGGAAAGGGTTCTGGACCAGTGTGTGTGTGTGTGTGTGTGTGTGTGTGTGTGTGTGTGTGTGTGTGTGTGTGTGTGTGTGTGTGTGTGTGTGTGTGTGTGTGTGTGTGTGTGTGTGTGTGTGTGTGTGTGTGTGTGTGTGTGTGCGTGTGCGTGCGTGCGTGCATGCATGTGCATGCATGTGCATGGGGTCCCTGCATGTGGCGTGTTCGGGTGCTGCTCTCATTTCTGGCTGGCGCCGGCCGGGCCAGGCCGGGTCACTAACGCCAGCTGTGTGTGTTGCAGTGGGACCCGGAGGACGGCCTTCCTGGCTGCCGCAGCCGAGGCCTGGGAGAAGAGGCGTTGTACGACAACGCGGGCCTCTACGATAACTTGCCGTCTCCGAGAATCTTTGCTCGCTCCTCCCCCGCTGACAGGAAGGCTTCTCGGCTGTGCTCTAACCACTGCAAGGCCCCGGCCGGCGGCCTGCCCCGCTCCCCCTCTGTCACTAACACCTCTTCCGTGGGGAGGGTGACTGTCGGGCTGCACACGCAGGTACACGCATGCTCCCCCATCCCCGCGCCCCTCAGGAGCCGCACCACAGGCTTCCTGGGGTCCTGGGGCGCCCGGGCCGGGCCCTTCCCAGCCTCCCAGGGTCCAGCACCTACGGGCCGAGTGCGGCCCCGCTCTGTCTGCCCGTAGCCTGAGCTGGGTTCTAGATAAAGAGTCAGAGGCTGAAGGAAACCACTGAGGAAAAAAAAGTTAGGTTCTTGTGTCTTAATGTTCTGTCTGTTTCCACAGCTCAAGGGCAAAAAGCCTCCCATGGCATCCAACGGGGTTCCCGGGAAAGGGAAGCCCCCCAGCAGTCAGCAGAAAAAGGCAGAGTCCGCAGCAGGCGTGAAGCGGACGGCCTCCAGTGAGTTCTGGGTCCGCTCTTTCCCGGGTCCCCCCTGCCCATCCGGCATGGCTCGGGCAGTGCTGTCTGAGCCGCCCGCCAGCAGAGTCGCAGTGCGCATGCACCGTGCCACGCTCCTGGCGGGCAGAGGGCAGCGTGGGATACCGAGAATACCCTTCTCCCCAGCCGAGCCTCCGGCACGGTGGCTGCAGCAGCCGCTGCTCCCATCTGGCAGGGGACAGGCACGGTTACAGTACAGTCTGCCTGACTTGGCAGTTTTCCTGTGTGGACAGTGTGTTGGGGACATAGTGGAGGTCCCTGGGACCCTCACAGAGCCTCCTAGTTCCCCGTGCTGTGCCAGCCTCCCTGACCAGCACGTTCCTCCTAGTTCCCCGTGCTGTGCCAGCCCCCCCTGACCAGCACGTTGGGGCGGGGGGGAGGTCTCCTTTTCCAGGCAGCAATCCCAGAAACCCTTGCGGAGAAGCGAGGACACTCAGGCCAGGGACAGAGCTCAGGTCGGGAGGTGGCTGTCCTGGTCAAGAACAGCTGTGGCACTGAGGGACAGGGGCTGGCAAACTTAGGATAACAGGCTCCAGATTCCAGCCTTGTTAGAGAGGAACTCATGGGGGAGAAAAGCCGTGGCCTTCTCTGAGAGCGTTCCATGCTCGTGTATTGAGTGGTGGCTAGTCTTAGAGAACGTGGCCAGCGCGTCTCCTGCTCCCGACCAGCTGCGGGCTTCCTCTGGCTGAGCCCACACAGCTCCCCGCTCTGTGGTCCCCTCTGACTGAGGGCCGGGCACCCCCGCACGGCCTCTGCAGAGCCAGCTAATCCCCCGCACTGTCCGTTCAGATGCCGACCAGTACAAATACGGCAAGAACCGGGTGGAGGCGGATGCCAAGCGGCTACAGACCAAAGAGGAGGAGCTGCTGAAGAGGAAGGAGGCGCTGCGGAACAGGCTGGCACAGCTCCGCAAGGAGCGGAAGGACCTGAGGGCTGCCATCGAAGTGAACGCCGGTAGGGCACTCCCCTGCCCTCCGCTGGCGCGGCGTCGGGTCACCAGCTCATTCTTTGCCCCCTTGGGGATGGGTGTCGTCCGTCTGTCTCCTGGGGCTGGGCAGCCCACAGCGGGCCCCCGTGTGATGAACGGCCCTGTTGCAGCCCAGGCCCAACCCCAAGCTGTCAGCTCGAGCCCCAGGTCCCATCCACAGGGAAGACCTCTGCCCACCATCTCGGCAGGTGCTGCCCCGTGTGGGCGGAGCAGCCCGTGTCTGCAGGAGGGGTGGTCTCTGGGGACACGCACCTCCCTCAGGTCCTCACAGCACAAACCTGCTTTCCACTCCCATGAAGGGTCTGGCCGAGGCTGAATCCTGAAAGGGATTGGGGAAGAGGGTGGCCAGCAGGCCGGCTGAGAAGGTCAGCTAGTAAGGCCCAGCTACGGGGAAGGGGTCCCAGGTCATGCATTCCTGCCCTGCAGGGGTTTCTCACAGCCTGGCCTCAGTTTCTAGATGTACCTCCCCTGGGGTGAGCCCCGCTCCAGACTTAGACCAGGCCAGTCCAGTTTTAGGTGAGCCCTGGTCCAGATATACTAGACCTGGTTCAGGTCTAGGTGAAACCCAGTCCATATCTAGGTGAGACCCTGTCTAGATCTAGGTGAAACCCAGTCCAGACCTAGATGAGACTTGATCCAGATCTAGGTGAGACCGGGTCCAATTCTAGACAAGATCCAATCCAGATTAGACAAGACCCAGTCTAAATCTAGGGGAGACCTAGTCTAGATCTAGGAGAAACTTGGTCCAGTTCTAGATGAAATCCGGTCCAGACCTAGGCAAGACCTTGTCCAGATCTAGATGAAACCTGGTCCAGATCTAGATGAGACCTTGTCCAGATCTAGATGAGACCTGGTCCAGTCTGGGTTCTTCCAGCCGAGGATATGAGGCCAAAGCTTCTAGGTAGCTTAGTACTCCTCACCCCCTATCCAGGCTGAGGCCCTCACACCACTCGGACCAGTGCGCAGACCTGTCCCGACTGCTCACTGGGTGGTAACTGGGGTGCAGGAGGGGCGGTGCAGGGCAGGGTGAGCTGGCGGGAAGTGGGAAGTGCGTGGCACAGGTCTGGAAGCAGTGTGGAGTCAGGGGATGGGAGCCGCTTTTCCCAGCCTGGTCTCTAGTCTGCAGGGCGGCGCTTTGCAGAAGAGCTCCCAGGATGTTGGTGTGGACAGAGTGTGCAGGTGTGGGTGGCACTGGCAGGCCCTGTGTGTATCTGCCACCCTTGGGGGCAGCGCGTGGCCTGACCCCAGTGGCAGGTGAGTGGATGGGAAGCACGCACACCGCCTCCTCGGGACTTGTCAGTCAGCAGCACCCTCAGATGCACCTCGTGTAAGCCGTGTGCGCTGGGGCCCCCCGCAGCGTGCTGTGTCCCCCGGGCGGGGCCGGGCCTCACACACTGTGTGTCCCGGTCTCCTAGGCAGGAAGACCCAGGCGGCGCTGGAGGACAAGCTGCGGAGGCTGGAGGAGGAGTGTAAGCAGCGGGAGGCGGAGCGGGTCAGCCTGGAGCTGGAGCTGACCGCCGTCAAGGAGAGCCTCAAGAAGGCCCTGGCCGGCGGCGTCACCCTGGGGCTGGCCATCGAGCCCAGGTCCGGCACATCCAGCCCGCAGGTGAGCCGGGGTGAGCGGGGCGCTGAGGGGAGGTGCTGCATCCCAGAGGCCGCCCCTGCTCCCGGCTGGGCGTGGCCGTGGGCGTCAGCACACTGGCCTCCTCACCAAGACCTTCAAGCAGGGGGATGCCGGGCCTTGCCCTCTGCATGGCTGACAGCAGGCCAGGGTCTTTCCTCGTGGGACCAGGTCCTGTCTCCCAGGCAGCAAGTGTGGCACGGCACACTCTAATGCCCCGCCTGGCGCGGGGTCTGAGTGGGATGTGATCGTGGGCTGACGCTGGTCCAAGAGCCTCAGTAGTCCCAGGGTGGTGTCAGTGAGGCCTTCCAAGGCCAGCTCACGTGCAAGGGCCAGCACCGAGCGCAGGAAGCAGACAGGACTCCCTGTCCCCCCCCCCCCCCCCCCAGCCTCGGCCTTCCTCCCCTCCCTCCATCACCTCCCTCCCATGCCTCGGCCTTCCCCTCCCCCTCCCCCATCACCCCCCTCCCATGCCTCGGCCTTCCCCTCCCCCTCCCCCATCACCCCCCTCCCGTGCCTTGGCCTCCCCCTCCCCCTTCACCCCCCTCCCGTGCCTCGGCCTTCCCCTCCCCCTCCCCCATCACCCCCCTCCCGTGCCTTGGCCTCCCCCTCCCCCTTCACCCCCCTCCCGTGCCTCGGCCTTCTTCTGAGGGCTGGTCACTGTCTGTGGCGGTCCTGCTTGTGTCCTCCTTCCGGTCACCGGTCTCTTCTTTGGAGCATGCTGCATTCAGGGCTAGGAGGTGGGTGACTGGGTGGTTGGGCTCGTTCTAAACCATGCAAGGTCCCCGTTCCGCCCCTGCAGGGTGAGAAGGGGTGGGGTGTGATCCTTTCGGGAAAGGCTGTCGGGGCACAGTTCACGGGGGCACGGCTCACTGCGTCTCTCGCGGGCAGTCTCCCGGCTTCCGGCACCGGACTCTGGAGAACTCGCCCATCTCCAGCTGCGACACCAGCGACACCGAGGGCCCGCTGCCCGTCAACAGCGCCGCCGTCCTCAAGAAGAGCCAGCCGGCCGCGGGCAGCTCGCCCTGCCGCGGGCACGTGCTGCAGAAGGCCAAGGTGAGTCCCCGGGCCTCCCAGGGCGCGGGGCGGAGCGGGCGCGGTACGGGCGGCCTCCCTCCGGCTGCCCCTGCTGGAGGCTGCCAGTGAACGAGACCCAGACCTCAGGCCCCGCCGGAGCCTCTGTTGGGCCGGAGCCCTCAGCCAGCGTTCCGCCCCGGCTCAGCCCAGGGCTGGGCTCACGGGTCAGGCCGAGTGACCAAGTAAGTGAGCTTCACAGAGGGAAGAAGGGCCTCCCTTATGCCACGGCCCTCGGCCAGGGTCTGGGGACACCCGAAACCTCCGCCACCGCCACGGGACCTCGTCCTGCGGCGGGATCGCACCCACTGCCCTCCACGCCCAGCCTCGGCGTCTCAGAAGTGCGCGGCCATCCGGGCTTGGAACCGCACTGGGACTCTGTGGTGCAAGTCCCGATGGAGGCCTGGTCCCGAGCAACGGGGCCGAGGCCGCCTCCCGTGCTGCTCCGGGCCCTCAGGGCGTCCCCAGCAGCGGGGAGGGGAGATGTGTGTGCAGGGCACCCTGCAGGGGACACTCAGGGACATCCCAGGGACATCCTAAAGATGTGCTGGTCAGGTGCTGGCGCTGGGCTGCCGGGCCAAACGCACACCAGAGCTACAGGCGGCTCTGCCATCGGTCTGAGCCTCGGCACTGGGTGTCTGTCTGTCTGTCACCTTCCTTCCTAGGGTGAGCCGTTTATCCACACCTCCCGCTGTGGACACCTTCCCCCACCATGAGTTTCGTTTCATTTTATAAACCAGCACTGGGGCTTGAGCTCAGAGCCTCTCATCCCCGCCTGGCTTTTTTTTGTTCAAGGACGGTGCTCTACCATTTTAGCCACAGCTCTACTTCTGGCTTTTTGCTGTCATGGACTTTTCTGTTCTAGCTGGTTTTGAAATACAGTCCTCAGATCTCAGCCTCCTGAGCGGCTAGGATTACAGGTGTGAGCCACTGCACCCATCCCTTCCTCTGCTTTAGAATAGGTGTAGATACACAGTGGAAGTGCTGGGCCCAGGGCCACTGTGTTCCGTCCTGGGGAACCTCTGTGTCATGGTGGGTGCCAGCCACTCGCCGGCCTTCAGTCCTGAGAGCTGGCCAGCTGGCGGTCGGTGTGCAGGTTGATATGGCTCTCCTTCCCCCCAGGAGTGGGAGCTGAAGAATGGGACCTAGAGGAAGGCCAGGGCCCCCGGCCTCACCCAGGGACTCCGCCCGCCCCTCGTGCCACAGCCGCGCTATAGCCGCCAGCCGGATGCAGAGTGCCGATGGACTGCCGATGCCAGCGGCTCACGCGCAGCCCCCCTACGGTGCCGCGGCACCCCTGAGAGCGCTTCCTAGTAAGACTGGGGTCCGGCTTCATCGTCAAAACGCAGAAGCGACCAAGGAGCGACCCGTGTCGCACGAGGCTCCTGCGTCGGATGGAGAAGTCACAGCCTCGGACCCCTCTGCCACCCGGACTGGCCGCCGGCCTCAGGTCCTCGTCCACCCAGACCTCCAGCCCACACGGCAGTGTCTGCACCCGCTGCCGGCCCCCAGCCCCACGGACGCGGTGCGAGCGTTGTGTTGGTGCGGTGCTTTATCTGCAGGACCTGAGCTGCCATTCTTTTTAACCTGTGTAGCTCTCAGCCGCGCGGGCGCCGGCCGTGGGCAGCGCGGAGATGCCCTGGCCGGCCTTCCCGTCCCCGCCACGTTTGCATTCTTATCTCGCGTGTGCCCATCCCCCTCGGCCCGGGGCCCCAGCCCTCCCCCACCACAGCCTCCAGGCTGAGGCTGATGTGGAGGCCACAACTCCCTTGGAAAGAAAAAAGCACAGGACTCACAGCCACGGCCTGGGCCAGCTTGAACCCCAGAAGGGCCGTTCGAGAGCGCCCCAGGCCACGTGCCTGCCTGCACCCCTGTGCACACAGACCCAGGCCCCAGGTCTCCCCAGCTCCTCTGCCTGCCCTCCGTGCAATAGCCCTGGGGCCTCCGGTCGCTGTAGGCACGCGCAAGGCCTGGCCCTGCCTGTGCTCTCCAGAGGGTACTTGCCAGAACTTTCCACGGCTGTGCCTCTGTAGCAAGTGTGGGCTTCCCCCGCCCCCTCAAAAGCAGAGAACCCAGCAGTGCTCCACACAAAGCCAGCCATTCGCCCACAATCCCGATTGCATAGGAAGAGGTTGCAGGACAGAGGCACCTTCAGGGCCTGCCGGGCAGCCTCCTGTCCATGCCCACGTCTGTCAGGACCGGCTCAGTTCCTAGCACGGCCTCCAGACCGCTGCTGCCTTTGGTCTTCCGTAGAAGCAGGAGAGCGCCCCGGCCGGCGCCCTTGAATTCACTGCAAAGCCATTTGCCACGAAGCCCCTTGGCTCCCAAGGGGTCAGCGGTGTCTGCGGCCCTACCCGCAGGGCACTGCCACCAGCATTTACTATGGTCCCCGTACAGAGACGCCAGGCACGGGCCAGGTGGCCCCCAGGCCCGTGTCCTCACCAGCCACGGGAAGAGCTCTTCCCACCCCCCTGTGCTCTGAGACCCCTGTGAGTCGGTGAAACCGTGCATCCTTTCCACCTTCAGGCCGAATGGAGCTAACCAGACCCAGGCTCCTAGGCCATGCCAGTCAGCAAGCTGCTTTGCCAGGAGAGCCGTCCTAGGCTTCCACTGCCCGCCGGCGGTGTGGGTCGAGGCGGCGCAGGTGAGCGCCTGTGGTCTGGGGGTGGGGTGCTAGAGCCGCGTCGGCGTCAGCAGGCCCTGCCGAGCTAGGGTTCGGGCCTGGCTCCCAGGCTCCTGACGCACATGTGTTGCATTTAAAATTCATCTGCTTATCCACTCCTGTCACCAGTCATCTTGAAGGAGCGCAGCGGGCGAGACACATCCTGAGCCCCGCGGCCCGCAAGGGCTCCCGCGGCCCCGCTCGCGCCTCGTCCCGCGCCTCGTCCCGTGTCCGTGCGTGCATCCGCCCGCCCGCCCGCACTCCCTTCACATTTCTAGATTGGATCAGAAAGTTTGTTTAGTGCATTTGCTTCAAAGTAAGTTATTTATTTGTATATGTTCAATAGCAGAGTTTTAATTTATATGTGTACATATGGAGCGCGCCCAGGGTCCCTGCTGGGTTCTGATGGTGATCTCCCTCAGTGGCCCTCCCACTGCGTGCCTGGGCGTGGCCCTGGGCAGCCAGGGCAGAGGGCAGACTAGTGCCACTCTGAACGTCTCCATGGAAGGACCGCCCCGCACCGCCCTGCGCTGCCCTGCGCCGAGCTGTCACTCCACACCCCTCCTTACTTGGTGCTCGCTCCAGTCACACTTTGGAAGGATGCCCTTGGCGTTTCTTACGTCTTCTAGGAACTCCCCGCCTGGGCCCAGACTTGGGCTCCCCCTGTCACTCCGCTTCCGTGCACTGCACGGTGACCAATATGGGTCAGCTGTGTGGTCCTACATGTCACAGTGGCCTGTATAGGCCTACCATGTGGAATCTTCCAGAACCCTTTCTCTGGGACCCATGTGACCCCCCACCCCTTTCAGGGCCGCAGTCTCTCCGGCCTGCTCCCTGCATGCCCCGGGCTGCCCAGCCCAGATGTCTGCAACATCTGTCTCTTGTTTGTCCCCAAGTTACTTTGGGCTGTCTCCAAGTCTCCAAGCCCACTCCAGCAGGCTGGAGATTGGCTGCCCTTGCCAGGCCTGCGCTCGGGCCGCCACCGCCGGAATCCGCATGCAGGACTTTAGGGACAGCTTGGCATGGGCCAGGCATGGGCCGTGGGCAAAGCTTCTGGTCACGCTCCCTTTCCAGAGAGCAAACCTGCCACCCCCTCCCTGGGGAGGTGTAGCTTCAGCCCAAGGCCCCCTGCTCCCGGGAGACAGCGGGGCAGCCACAAGACAGCCACCTTCCACCCCTGCCCGGCACCACAGCTACCATGAAAGGGGCAGGAGAAGCATCAGTTGTGTGCGGGGGGGCTGCGCTGCAGGGTTGGGGGCACGGTGAGCGGCTGCGTGAGCCGCGCCCTGCCGCCTCCCAGCGCCGCCCGCGGGCGCACACCGCACACTGGTGACGTGATGAAAGCTCTTGCTTTCCCTTCCTCTTTCCTAAAGTAAATGTTAGGTGGGAGCAGTGATTGCAGATCCGTGAGGCAGCCATTTTGTTCCCGTTGTTCCTTAATCCTCTGGGCACCGGGTCCACACTGTGAAATAAACTGACCATGAAAGCCTCCCTCACAGCGCCCGAGCCGCGGGCGCCCGGCCCTGCGTGGGGAAGACAGCGAGGCTCTGTGTGGCCAGCATGGGCCCAGGGCGGGAGGGAGGAGGCCTGCCGCAGCCCCCGGGCAGCCCCTGTGCCCCGTGCTCCCCCTGCCCCCCGTGCCGCCTGCAGGGCCTCCGTCATTTCAGAATGGGATGGTGACACCGCGCTTCCCAGGGACCAAAGGTGTTTTGAAGACGATAATCTGGTTAATTAGCTCTCCACGGAGAAGGGAAACATTCTGCATTTGAACACCAGCGTTTCCTTAACAGCCCTTCAGAATTCATTGACCATGGCTAGCTGTTGTAAAATGTCTTCATAGTAAGAATGTAATTATTTCCTGATTGTATTTAAAAAAAAAACCTAAAGTCATATTTAAAATTCTCTTTGAAAGGAGCTGGCAAAGAAACAGGAGAGATTTTTTAATTATTATTATTATTATTTTATTATTGTTATTAAATACGTTGCTAGAGCCCATTAGGAAAAAACGTGAATATGTTTTGAGTGTGTTTCTCACTATATTTAATTCATAAAGGACAGAGTTTTATGAAGAGATCGCCATGAGATGCTAATTTTCAGCCTTGACCCCCGTTTATAGTCTCGCCTTTACTACTTGAGTTTTCTACAGTTTCACACGTGTAGCCTCTGACTGGCGCCCTGTGGCGTGACCCACCTATTTGTGTATTCTTAATAAAACTACTATGTGGACCAGGCCTTGGTGTCTACCTCAGGTGACTGCAGCTGCACACTGCCATGCCATGGAGGTGACGGGGTGTTGGTGGAAATCACGGGGGAAGGGTGATGGAGGTCACTAGGTGGTGGTGGTGGAAATCGCAGGGGGTGGAGGTCACTGGGTGGTGGTGATGGAGATCCTGGGCAGTGGTGATGGAGGTCACTGGGTGGGGGTGATGGAGATCCTGGGCAGTGGTGATGGAGGTCACTGGGTGGGGGTGATGGAGGTCACTGGGTGGGGGTGACGGAGGTCCCTGGGTGGTGGTAGTGGTGATGGAGGTCACTGGATGGTGGTGTTGGAGGTCACTGGGTGGTGGTGATGGAGGTCACTGGGTGGTGGTAGTGGTGATGGAGGTCACTGGGTGGGGGTGATGGAGGTCACTGGGTGGGGGTGATGGAGGTCCCTGGGTGGTGGTAGTGGTGATGGAGGTCACTGGGTAGTGGTGGTGATGGAGGTCACTGGATGGTGGTGATGGTGGTCACTGGGTGGTGGTGATGGAGGTCACTGGGTGGGGGTGATGGAGGTCACTGGGTGGGGGTGATGGAGGTCACTGGGTGGTGGTGATGGTGGTCACTGGGTGGTGGTGATGGAGGTCACTGGGTGGTGGTGATGGTGGTCACTGGGTGGGGGTGATGGAGGTCACTGGGTGGTGGTGATGGAGGTCACTGGGTGGGGGTGATGGAGGTCACTGGGTGGTAGTGATGGAGGTCACTGGGTGGTGGTGATGGTGGTCACTGGGTGATGGTGATGGAGGTCACTGGGTGGGGGTGATGGAGGTCACTGGGTGGTGGTGGTGATGGAGGTCACTGGGTGGTGGTGGTGGAGGTCACTGGGTGGTGGTGATGGTGGTCACTGGGTGATGGTGATGGAGGTCACTGGGTGGGGGTGATGGAGGTCACTGGGTGGGGGTGATGGAGGTCACTGGGTGGTGGTGGTGATGGAGGTCACTGGGTGGCAGTGATGGTAGTGAAGATCACTAGGTGGAGGTGGAGGTTACTGAGCAGTCTTGGTTTATAGAGGGACTGGACCTGGAGCAGCACTTTGTATGGGAGCTAGAGGAAGAACTTTTCCTCGAGCAACTGCAGGTGTCTTGTTTTCTTTTTGTTTGTTTGTTCTGTTTTTTTTGGGGGGGGTGGTGGTCCAGTGGTGGGGCCTGAACTCTGGGCCTGGGCGCTGTCCCTCAGCTCTTCAGCTCAAGGCTAGTGCTCTACCACTTGAGCCACAGCACCATTTCCAGCTTTTTCTGCTTATGTGGTGCTGAGGAATCGAACCCACGTCCTCAGGCATGCAAGGCAAGCGCTCTACCACGGAACCACCTTCCCAGCCCTCTTGTTTTGTTTTGTGCCTGTCCTGGGGTGTGAACTCAGCACCTGAGCATTTTTAATGCTCCTCTGCTTGAGCCACAGCTCTGCTTCCAGCGTGTGTGTGTGTGTGTGTGTGTGTGTGTGTGATTGTAGATAAGTCTCCCTGACTTTGCTACCGCAGCTAGCTTTGATCCAAGATCCTCAGAGCTCAGCCTCCTGAGTAGGCTTATGGGTGTGAGCTGCCAGTGCCAGGCTTGCAGTTGGTTTTCAAGTGTATTTTTGGTTCCCAGACCTGAATACTCAAGAGACACAGCCAATGCCCAGGTCAGTGCCAAGCATTTGTGCCGACCTGACTTGGCTAGGTGAAGTCTGCCCATAAGACACTCAAAACCCTGAAGTGCTTCTTGTGTGCAGAGTTAGGAAAGACTTCCGGGATTGTAGGCGGGGTTGCTCACAGGCAGCAGGGGTGGGGGTTCTGTGAGGAGAGGGGTGGCGAGGCGGCGGGGGGGGGGGTGAACCTGGCCTTGGACGCCATGGTGACAGGTGCCACCTCCCCTGTCCAGAAGCACCCAGCAGAGTGGAGCTGGCTGCCTCCCTCCTCCTAGCGGCCATGGTAACACCCACGGGTCACCTGCCTCCCCTCAGGGCTGCCGCCTCCCGAGTGATGCATACTGCCCCGGCTCCAGGCAGCCCCCCCCCCCCCGCGCCCACCTACCTACCCCCCACCCTCTGTCTGCCTCCCGTGCCCCCTGCTCCCCGTGCTCGGCTCCTGGAGGACCGGGCTGGAGTTGTGGGAGCCAAGCCCGCGGTGACCCCAGCTGGAGCCCACAGAATGGCTGGGTAAGCAGGTGGCCCTTGGTTGTGTGGCTGGAGAGGAAAATGGGGGCCCTGAGGGCCACGTGGTTGTGAGCAGTGTGGCCGGGGGGGGGGGGGCGGACGGTCAGGAGGAGGCAGCGCTCTGCTCACAGCCGGGAAGAGACTCGCAGGCCACAGCGGCGTGGCACACGGCCGTGGCCATCCTCGCCTGGCCAGGATGGACTGGTCCGCGCGTGCGTGCACGGGCTTGGAGGAGACCCCCACAGGTGTGTGCAGTACCGCACTGCTGCGCTCACAGCTTGGAGCCATTCATGCTGTGGCCCCACTAGATCTTGGAGTTCTGCGTGGCCATGGGCGGTCTTCAGACAGGAGCACGCGCGTTCAGGGACACAGGGTCTGTCCGCTCGCCGAGTCACCAGAACGCGCTGAGATGATTTCGTGGGCAAGTTCGTGCGCTCAAGGGGCCGGGTGTGCGGAATGGAATGTGGCAGAGGCCAGAGAGCAGCCGTGAAGCCCCTCCCCCCGCGGGGTACGCTGGGCTGGCCACGCCTCCTGTTTGTAAATCGAGTCTCTGGGAGTTCTCAACCAGGCCCGGCTGTGATCTGTGACCCCCTTGACCTCAGTTTCCTGAGTAGCTGGGATTAACAGCGGGGGCCACGCCCGGCTTCATGAGCATCCTGACACCACGCTTACACCTGTCTCCCCTCCTCTCCCTCTCCCTCCCCTCCCTCCTCCCTCCACCCCCCCTCTGCCACAGTTGACACTGCAGACAATTACCGGTGGCTCAGGCCCAACCGGCACCCCTCTGCGGTCACAGCTGGGCTGGGGGAGCTGTGAGGCGGGGGTTGGGAATGGATCAGGTGTGGCCCACCCTGGCCCGCTGGTGCCCAGCCCCCACCTAGGGGAATGCCGGCTCTGGTCTCACCAGACAAACGGAAGGAGCTGACCACATAACCTGGAACTTTCTCCATAACCCTCAATAACCAGTTTCCCAGGGCCCGTGTTGTGCATCCCATGACCACAGTCACATCTGCAGCCCCCACAGAAGCCCGAGGTCCTGCCACCCCCAGCCCTCCCTCCCATCTGGAGAATTCACTCTGCTTTGGCTGACAAGCCCTTCCTCTGGGAGGCCAAGGAACTTTCTGCCCCTGGTCGCAGTGACCTGAATCCGGTGACAAGCCTGTGCCTTTGCTGTCCGCCTCAGCGTCCTCCTCCCCCCATGGCTGCGTCCGTTCACCCAGACTTCTACGTCAAAACACACCGTCTTCAAAATAATACCAAGTGGGTCACGTCCATTGAACCTTTGTTAAAAGCATCACAAATGATTTATTGGTTTTTAAAAAGGAAACACGAGGAAGAACGCGTTGGTTATGTGCACATGGCAGGAGGTGCCCGACGCGGCCAGGACCCCAGCGCGTGGAGTCTGGTCCCCGGGGGGCGTGGGCACCTGCGCGGGGTGCAGGTGGCGCGGGGCGGGTCCTGGCAGGACCCCACTCACTGGGGAAGCAGCGCTGCTGGGCGCCACGCTGTGCCCAGGCTCTGTACCCACACGCCCAGATGGGTGGGTTGGTTTTTTGAAAGAAATAGTAACATAAAATACAAGGGGAAAACGCACACGTAGCGAGGGAAAACCCTGACGGAACAGCTTTGAGAACTAGTGGAGTGGTCACCAGGGACTCCCCGGGGCGTGGCGTCCAGGGCTCCCGTGTGGCCTGGGACCTGGGCGCCGACGGCTCCGTGCGCATCTCCAGAGCGGGTCTGGGCCTGGGGCAGGAGGGGGCGTCCGGCGGCTGGGGGCTGGCGCTGGGGCCAAGGCCCTTCCTGGCATTGGGCCCTTTAACCCAGCCCCTCACCAAGGCCAGTCTGGGGGCCCAGGAGCCTAGGGCCGTTCTGGGCTGCAGGGGGAGCGCCTGGGGCGCCCTGCCTGGCTGTGCACCTGATTTCCGTCCATCATAGGTTCACCGTGACCAGAGTACCTCCATGCCAGGAGCAGCCACTCGACCAAGGCCGAGCGCTCCAGCGATGCCCTGGGGTGGGGGTTCACCCCTGGACCTCCCCAACAATAGGAAGAACGGGGGCATGACCCTGAAGCTGGCAGGGTGGAGGCTGGCCCGGTGGAGGCCTGGGAGGAGGACGGAGAGGAGGGGATGGCGGGGAGGGGACTGACTTCATGATTCAAGGCAAAAGGTGAAGTGTCCTGCTGTCTCTGTGCCGTGCTGCACTCGGTCCCGGGCCCCAGGCAGCCGAGCTGGGCCCCCAGGCAGCCTAGCCGGGCCCCAGGCAGCCGAGCCGGGCCCCAGGCAGCCGAGCCGGGCCCCAGGCAGCCCAGCCGGGCCCCCAGGCTACCTCGCTGTGCTCTTGCTGTGACCCCCCTCTCCGAGTGCCCCGGTTCACCGTGAGGAGTCGCACAGCTCTGCCCATCCATGCGTCCCTGGCTCCGCTCTATGCGGGCCCCAAAGCTGGCAGGAAACCTTCCAGAGCCTGTCAGGCTGGGAGCCGTCCTGGAGGGGCTGAGGGCGCCTCCTACTGGCAGCCTGCGGAACTGCAGGAACAGGGCTCCTTTGCCCACCACACTACCTGGGGAAAACTAGAGGAGCTCCAGTGGTACAGAAAGGGGGTTTTGAGAGCCAGTGACTGCCGCTTAGCTTAACAGTTAAACGTGCCCCGAATGCAAAGGGCTACCTGGAGAGGTATTTACAGGATCTGCAGTTTAACAGGAAGAGGAGCACTGGAGGGCACCGGAGGGTGGCGTTGGGTGGGTCTGGCTTACGGGACTCTGGGAAGCCCCTGGCAAGAACAGGAGCCACAGGGCAGAGGCTGCGGACCTAGGGCCTGGCCAGCCCGGCAGCCTCACCCCACGCTCCGGACAGAGTGGCCTCGGCTGGGAGAAGTCAGGCCTCAGCTGGGCAGCAGGGCAGCGTGAGCGGGGTCCAGGGCCAGAGGCAGGGACGGGACATCAGTGGCACCATGGGCCTGGTCCGGGTGGGCAGTCAGGAGCGGCTGGGGCTGACGGAGGGAGTGTCCGCTCCCTGGGCGGGCACGGCGGGAGGAGGCGGCCTTCTCGAGGGCTCGGCGGGGCCTCCCAGCCGCACCTGGGCTCCTTCGTCCTCCGCGGGGAGACAGTGGTCCGGGCATCAGCTGACCAGGTAGCTGTGCATCTCCCGAGAGTTGATGCTCAGGACCACGCCTGAGTGGTTGCCTAGGCAACAGAAGATGCGTGGCTGTGAGCACCTTCTGCCATGTGGGGACGGCGTGAGGCAGGCTGTGGGGGGACCCGCGTGGAAGCGGTGAGTCGTGGACACCCGCGGAGGCATTGGCTGTGTGGGGTGCATCCTCCGTGACCGTGTGGGGGGGGGGTGCAGTGCTGTGGGAGCAGTGGCCCGGGCGCAGAGGTGAGGCCACACTGACCTGAACGGGAGCCCGAAGGCATCCGCAGCAGGGGCACGCGGGAGGGGCTGACACCCGGCCCCCTCCTGGCAGCAGCTGCTGCTGCTGGGGGGTCTGGCATGGTGAGGACTGGGCGGAGCCAGAGAGAGGGGGCGTGGTCGTGTCAGCCCGAGACCGGGGCAGGGTGAGGCCGGGCCCGGGGCTGCCCACGGAAACTGCCTCCCTGCCGCCTCCCCAGCTACCCTGTCCCGCAGCGTGGCCGGCAGCCGGGGTGGACCGCCGACGGGGACAGGGTAGGGCCTAACCAGGCGAGGTTGTGTCCGGCTAGAGCAGCCTCACTCGGAGGAGTGATGCAGGGCCCTGCCCGGCTGTCCGGCCCCGGCCCCGTCTCTGTGAGCATGGCGGGGTGCGGAGGCTGTGCGGCGCACAGAGCTGCGGGCTGTGTGCGAGGTACTCGGGGAGCAGTATTTTTGCTGGCAGTGGTCTTCATCCCCCCTCTGGGGCTGCCTGGTCTGGCAAGTCCCCGGGCACTGATTCCATCAGAGGCCCCGGCCTCCCTGCTCCAGGCAGACACAGGGGTCCCACAGCAGGGCGGGCCGGGTCCTGTGGCCCTGGAACCCCAGGGAGTTGGGGGTGTGCCCTGCGGAGCCTGCGCAGGCCACGTGTCCCAGCACCTACCCTGGACGGTCCCCTGCGTGTCCTCACTGTGGCTCACGGGACTGGTCATCTCCTGCTCCTTCTCGTTGTGCATCTGGGCGTACACGGTTCTGCCCGGGCGTTTCCTGCAGGGCAGAGGCGGCTCCCAGCTCTTGCGGAGGGCGCGGGCATCCAGCCCTGCAGAGGGCCAGCCCCAGAGCCTGGCTGCCCACACGCCCCTTGGCCAGCACGCCATGGGTGCCCTCGCTGGTCTCTGCAGAGCTGGTGTGGCTGCTCCACTTTGTCTCCCAGTACCCAGGGCAGAGGGGAGAGTGACCCACCCACACCCAAGGTCCAGCCCGGTGCCAAGAGGACCCAGCCAGCCCTGGCCCGCGCTCAGCCTCAGCCAACGCACGCTGGCACGGGAGCTGAGGAACGGGCATGGGGCCCCTGCTTTCCAGCAGTGACCAGGGGGTGGGAGCTGGGCACTAGGACCCCACTTCCTAGGGGCCACAGGGGTCGGGTGGGGGATGAGCGGATTTCCTGCCTGGGCACCTGGCGGAGGTCTGGGTGAGACCCGGTCACAGCGTCCGAGGCCTGGGCGGCTGGGGGAGCTCGCGCCTCAGGGATTGGAAAGCGGGAAAGGCCATGGCCTGCCCCGGGCCCCCAATCTGCCACCTGGAAAACTCAGGCTGTCCTCTGAGGTCCCCTCCTCCGGGGAGTGCCAGGTTAGCTGAGGTTCTGCTATTCTTTCTCAGACCCCTCCTTTGCCCCCTGCCCTCCCCCCCCCTCCCGATCCAGGTAACAAGGGGGACAGGTGTGGACGCGCCCGGCCAGAGCAGCACCGGCCTGTGCCCAGCCATGGGCCGAGGGGCCGGCAGGGAGCGGCGTCCGTTACCCTCTACAAGGACACACGTGCATCGAGGCCAGCAGATGGGGGTCCCCGGGGGGCGCCCAGTGCCTGGGCCCTGGGGGAGGGTGGAGGAGGTGGGCCCTGCTGTGGTGAATGGGGCCCTCAGTGGTCCTTGGGGACCAGCATGGTCGGTCTCCACGCATCATTCTGCTCAGGCCCAGATTCCGGGGACGTCCAGGGCGGCCACCGTGGGCGCCGGCTCGGGGTCTGCATGCCCAGGCCCCCCAGGCCCCCGGCCTCACCTCAGCACCCCCATCTGAACACCTGGGGCCCCGTGTGGCGCCCAGCCGGAGAGGCTGGCACAGCAGGGCTGGGAAGCGGTGCTGTCCCCTGCTCGCTGGGCCTGCGACCCGCACCCAGCCTCGCTGGCTGGGCCTCCCTTGCCCGCAGCTCCCCAAGGCCCGCACAGGAGGGGCTCCCGTGTGGAGGGTGGTGACCGTCTGTCCCTGGGGACCCCGGGTGACAGTGCCAGCAAGGGAACCAGTGCTGTGTCCTCCCCCCCCCCCCCCGCGACCCCACCAGGAGCCGCGGCCTCTGCCCGCCCCGCGTCCAGGCCGCGCAGAGATGGGGAGGCGGCCTTGCCTTTTGAACTTGTAGAGGATGAACACCACCACCGCCAGCAGCCCGACCACGAAGAGCACCGCCGCCGCCCAGTAGCCGCCGCCGCCCAGCCGCTGGGGACCTGCAAGGAGAACAGGAGGGGACAGCCATGGCAGGACTGGTCAGTGGGGACAGTGGGGACAGTGAGGACAGTGGGGACAGTGAGGACAGTGGGGACAGTGAGGGACAGTGAGGACAGTGAGGACAGTGAGGGCAGTGAGGACAGTGAGGGACAGGAGGGACAGTGAGGACAGTGAGGGACAGTGAGGACAGTGAGGACAGTGAGGGACAGTGAGGGACAGGGGGACAGTGAGGACAGTGAGGGACAGTGAGGGACAGTGAGGACAGTGAGGGACAGTGAGGACAGTGAGGGACAGTGAGGGACAGTGAGGACAGTGAGGACAGTGAGGGACAGTGAGGACAGTGAGGACAGTGAGGGACAGTGAGGGACAGTGAGGACAGTGAGGACAGTGAGGGACAGTGAGGGACAGGGGGACAGTGAGGACAGTGAGGGACAGTGAGGGACAGTGAGGACAGTGAGGGACTGTGAGGGACAGTGAGGGCAGTGGGGACAGTGAGGACAGTGAGGGACAGTGAGGGACAGGGGGACAGTGAGGACAGTGAGGGACAGTGAGGGACAGTGAGGGACAGGGGGGACAGTGAGGACAGTGAGGGACAGTGAGGGCAGTGAGGACAGTGAGGGACAGTGAGGGACAGTGAGGACAGTGAGGGACAGTGAGGGACAGTGAGGGACAGTGAGTACAGTGAGGGACAGTGAGGGCAGTGAGTACAGTGAGGACAGTGAGGACAGTGAGGGGCAGTGAGGACGGTGAGGGACAGTGAGGGCAGTGAGGGACAGTGAGGACAGTGAGGACAGTGAGGGACAGTGAGGACAGTGAGTACAGTGAGGACAGTGAGGACAGTGAGGGACAGTGAGGACAGTGAGGACAGTGAGAGACAGTGAGGACAGTGAGTACAGTGAGGGACAGTGAGGACAGTGAGGACAGTGAGGACAGTGAGTACAGTGAGGGACAGTGAGGGACAGTGAGGACAGTGAGGACAGTGAGGGACAGTGAGGGACAGTGAGGACAGTGAGGGACAGTGAGGACAGTGAGGACAGTGAGGGGCAGTGAGGGCAGTGAGGACAGTGAGGACAGTGAGGACAGTGAGGGACAGTGAGGGACAGTGAGGACAGTGAGGGACAGTGAGGGACAGTGAGGGACAGTGAGGACAGTGAGGACAGTGAGGGACAGTGAGGGACAGTGAGGGCAGTGAGGACAGTGAGGGACAGTGAGGACAGTGAGGGACAGTGGGGACAGTGGGGACAGTGGGGACAGTGAGGACAGTGAGGACAGTGAGGACAGTGAGGACAGTGAGGGACAGTGAGTACAGTGAGGGACAGTGAGGACAGTGAGGACAGTGAGGGACAGTGAGGGACAGTGAGGACAGTGAGGACAGTGAGGGACAGTGAGGGACAGTGAGGGCAGTGAGGACAGTGAGGGGCAGTGAGGACAGTGAGGACAGTGAGGGACAGTGAGGACAGTGAGGACAGTGAGGACAGTGAGGACAGTGAGGGACAGTGAGGACAGTGAGGACAGTGAGGGACAGTGAGGGACAGTGAGGACAGTGAGGACAGTGAGGGACAGTGAGGGACAGTGAGGACAGTGAGGACAGTGAGGGACAGTGAGGGACAGTGAGGGCAGTGAGGACAGTGAGGGACAGTGAGGACAGTGAGGGACAGTGAGGACAGTGGGGACAGTGGGGACAGTGGGGACAGTGAGGACAGTGAGGACAGTGAGGGACAGTGAGTACAGTGAGGGACAGTGAGGACAGTGAGGACAGTGAGGGACAGTGAGGACAGTGAGGACAGTGAGGGCAGTGAGGACAGTGAGGACAGTGAGGACAGTGAGGGACAGTGAGGGACAGTGAGGACAGTGAGGACAGTGAGGGACAGTGAGGACAGTGAGGACAGTGAGGACAGTGAGGGACAGTGAGGGACAGTGAGGACAGTGAGGGACAGTGGGGACAGTGAGGGACAGTGGGGACAGTGAGGGACAGTGAGGACAGTGAGGACAGTGAGGGACAGTGGGGACAGTGAGGACAGTGAGGGACAGTGAGGACAGTGAGGGACAGTGAGGGACAGTGAGGGACAGGGGGGACAGTGAGGGACAGGGGGGACAGTGAGGGACAGTGAGGACAGTGAGGACAGTGAGGGACAGTGAGGGACAGTGAGTACAGTGAGTACAGTGAGGACAGTGAGGGCAGTGAGTACAGTGAGGACAGTGAGGGACAGGGGGGACAGTGAGGGACAGTGAGGGCAGTGAGGGACAGTGGGGACAGTGAGGGACAGTGAGGACAGTGAGGACAGTGAGGACAGTGAGGGACAGTGAGGGACAGTGAGGACAGTGAGGACAGTGAGGGACAGTGAGGGACAGTGAGGACAGTGAGGGACAGTGAGTACAGTGAGGACAGTGAGGACAGTGAGGACAGTGAGGGACAGTGAGGGACAGGGGGGACAGTGAGGACAGTGGGGGCAGTGGGGACAGTGAGGACAGTGAGGGACAGTGAGGACAGTGAGGGACAGTGAGGACAGTGAGGACAGTGAGGGACAGGGGGGACAGTGAGGACAGTGATGGCAGTGGGGACAGTGAAGACAGTGAGGACAGTTAGGGACAGTGAGGGACAGTGAGGGACAGTGAGGGACAGTGAGGGACAGTGAGGACAGTGAGGGCAGTCAGGGACAGTGAGGACAGTGAGGGCAGTCAGGGACAGTGGGGACAGTGGGGACAGTGAGGGACAGTGAGAGACAGTGAGGGACAGTGAGGGACAGTGGGGACAGTGGGGACAGTGAGGACAGTGAGAGACAGTGAGGGACAGTGAGTACAGTGAGGACAGTGAGGACAGTGAGGACAGTGGGGACAGTGGGGACAGTGAGAGACAGTGAGGGACAGTGAGGGACAGTGAGGGACAGTGAGGACAGTGAGGGCAGTGAGGGCAGTCAGGGACAGTGAGGACAGTGAGGACAGTGAGGGACAGTGAGGACAGTGAGGGACAGTGGGGACAGTGAGGGACAGTGAGGACAGTGAGGACAGTGAGGACAGTGAGGGCAGTCAGGGACAGTGAGGGACAGTGGGGACAGTGGGGACAGTGAGGGACAGTGGGGACAGTGGGGACAGTCAGGGACAGAGCAGGGCAGCCGGAGCAGGGGTCCCAGCTCTGGAGAGGCTGCTGCATGTCATCTAGCCTGTGCCCGCTCGGGTGGGGAAATGCACCCTCGCAGCCGGGGAGGCACCAGGATGCTCCTCTCGGGCCGGTCCTGCAGCTGCTGACCTGCTGGGAGCATGGGCGGAGCCTACTCCTGCAGCGCACCCGGCTCCCCCCCCCTTCGTGCGCATGCCCGGGGTGAGCTGCCTGGGCTCCCTGTGGAGGTGGGCACTATAGGGAAGTGGCCATGGGGACCAGCAGCAGGGGTCATCTGGAGGGGAGGTCAAGCCCCGCAGGTCTGGCCAGAAAGCCATGAGTCTAATTGGAGACCGTCCACCAGAGGGTCGCCCAGCGGGTGACGGAGGGCCACCCATGGGGCCTCAGGGCCTGGGTGCCTGCCCAGCCTGCCCCCCGGCCCAGCCAGGCCTCCCACCTGAGTCTGTCCCCCCCAGGCCCAGCCAGGCTTCTCACCTGAGTCTGTCTCCCGCAGGGCCACCAGGACCCGCAGCCCGCCTCGCACGGGGAAGCTGATCTTGTGAGCACCGAGCACCTGCTGGATGGCTGCGACTCTCTGAAAGGGGAAGGGAGGGGCGCTCAGCCCGGGAGGGGGGCGCTCAGGCCGGGAGGGGGGGCGCTCAGGCCGGGAGGGGGGCGCTCAGGCCGGGAGGGGGGCGGCAGCCCGGGAGGGGGGTGCTCAGGCCGGGAGGGGGGCGCTCAGGCCAGGAGGGGGGCACTCAGGCCGGGAGGGGGGTGCTCAGGCCAGAGCAGGGGAGGGGTGCTCAGGCCAGAGGGGGGGGGTCAGAGCCCTGACCCCTCCAGAGGTCAAGGGCTGGAGAGGGCCACGACCTTCCCGGCCTCAGTGTCCTCGTGAATGGGAAGGGAAGCTGCCTGTCACCATGAGGATGGGCAGGACACGGCTGGCCCAGGTGTGTGTGTGCACGTGTGTGTGTGTGTGTGCGTGTGTGTGCGTTTGTGTGTGTGTGTGCACGCATGTGTGTGCGTGTGTGTACATGTGTGGTGTGTGCATGTGTTTGTGTGTGGTGTGCGTGCGTGTGGCATGTGTGTGTGTGTGGTGTGCATGTGTGTGCGTGTGTGTGTGCATGTGTGGTGTGTGCGCGCGTGTGTGTTGTACGTGTGTGTGCATGTGTGGTGTGCGTGTGTATGTGTGTGTTGTGCGTGTGTGCATGTGTGTGGTGTGCATGTGTGTGCGTGTGTGTGCATGTGTACGTGCGCGTGGTGTGCGTGTGTGCGTGCGTGTGCATGTGTGGTGTGTGCATGTGTGTGTGTGTGGTGTGCATGTGTGCGTGTGTGTGCATGTGTGGTGTGTGCGCATGTGTGTGTTGTACGTGTGTGCATGTGTGGTGGGCGTGTGTATGTGTGTGTTGTGCGTGTGTGCATGTGTGTGTTGTGCGTGTGTGCATGTGTGTGGTGTGCATGTGTGTGCGTGCGCGTGGTGTGCGTGTGTGTGTGCGTGTGCATGTGTGTGTGTGGTGTGCATGTGTGTGCGTGTGTGTGCATGTGTGGTGTGCGCGCGCGTGTGCGTGTGTATGTGTGTGGTGTGCATGTGTGTGCGTGCGCGTGGTGTGCGTGTGTGCGTGTGTGTGCATGTGTGGTGTGCGCGCGTGTGTGCGTGTGTGCGCGCGTGTGCATGTGTGTGGTGTGCATGTGTGCGTGTGCGTGTGTACACTCCACACCCTGCCCGCTCCGTCATCCTGCAGGGTAGCCGCTGGCTGTGAGGCAGCATGGTTGTGGCTCCCGTGGCGAGGGGTTTCGGCTGACGGGCCGCGCGTGTCTCCACTTGGGCCGCCGCCTGCTTTCCAATTGGGTTATTTCGTGGCTGCCTTCGAGCTGGGGTCCTGGCCTCTGACGTGGCTCTGAGTTGGATGTGGGGCCCGCCGATCCCCTCCCCTTGTTGGAGCCTGGCTGCGCAGCTTCTTGGTTTGATGGAACTGCGAGTATCCCTGTGTGCTGGGGTCACCGTGTGGCAGGGTCCCGTGTCCTGTGTGCTGAGGTCCCCGTGTGCCGGGGTCCCGTGTGCTGGGGTGCCCTGTCCCGTGTGCCGGGGTCCCCGTGTGCCGGGGTCCTGTGTGCCGGGGTCACCGTGTGCCAGGTTCCCGTGTCCCATGTGCCGGTGTCCTCGTATGGCGTTATTTCCGGTGTGGGCACTTGGTGCTGTGTGCGCCGCGGTGGTGCCTGTCCTTGGCGGCTGTCGGAGGCTGTGTGGCTGACTGGCCGGGGCGCTGCTGGACTGCTGTCGTCCCCAGGGTGTGCCAGGATCTCGGCAGTGTCTGGATCCGCTGCCTTTTGACTTTGGCCGCCCTGTTGGGGCTCGGGCCCTTGGTGCTGCCACGGTGTGGACGCTGGCCGGTGTGGACGCTGGCCGGTGTGGATGCTGCTGCAGTGTGGATGCTGCTGCAGTGTGGATGCTGCGGTATGGATGTTGCGGTGTGGATTCTGTTTTGGTGTGGATGCTGTGGTGTGGATGCTGAGGTGTGGATGCTGCGGTGTGGATGCTGCCACGGTGTGGATGCTGTGGTGGTGTGGATGCTGCTGCAGTGTGGATGCTGCGGTGTGGATGCTGCTGAGGTGTGAATACTGCCGTGGTGTGGATGCTGGCCGGTGTGGATGCTGTGGTGTGAATGCCGGCTGGTGTGAATGCTGGCCGGTGTAGATGCTGCAATGTGGATGCTGCCACGGTGTGGATGCTGCCGTGGTGTGGATGCCGTGGTGTGGATGCTGTGGTGTGGATTCTGGCCGTCGTGGATGCTGGCCAGTGTGAATGCTGGCCGGTGTGGACGCTGGCCGGTGTGGATGCTGCCGAGGTGTGGACGCTGGCTGGTGTGGATTCTGCCGCGGTGTGGATGCTGCAGTGTGGATGCTGGCCGGTGTGGATGCTGCGGTGTGGATGCTGCCATGGTATGGATGCTGCGGTGTGGATGCTGGCCGGTGTGGATGCTGCGGTGTGGATTCTGGCCATTGTGGATGCTGGCCGGTGTGGACGCTGGCCGGTGTGGTGGACGCTGGCCGGTGTGGACGCTGTGTGGACGCTGGCCGGTGTGGTGGACGCTGGCCGGTGTGGATGCTGTGTGGACGCTGGCTGGTGTGGTGGACGCTGGCCAGTGTGGACGCTGTGTGGACGCTGGCCGGTGTGGACGCTGGCCGGTGTGGACGCTGGCCGGTGTGGATGCTGTGGTGTGGATGCTGCGGTGTGGATGCTGGCCGGTGTGGACGCTGGCCGGTGTGGACGCTGTGTGGACGCTGGCCGGTGTGGATGCTGGCCAGTGTGAATGCTGGCTGGTGTGAATGCTGGCCGGTGTAGATGCTGCGATGTGGATGCTGCCACGGTGTGGATGCTGCCGTGGTGTGGATGCCATGGTGTGGATGCTGTGGTGTGGATTCTGGCCGTCGTGGATGCTGACCAGTGTGAATGCTGGCCGGTGTGGACGCTGGCCGGTGTGGATGCTGCCGAGGTGTGGACGCTGGCCGGTGTGGATTCTGCCGCGGTGTGGATGCTGCAGTGTGGATGCTGGCCGGTGTGGATGCTGCGGTGTGGATGCTGCCATGGTATGGATGCTGCAGTGTGGATGCTGGCCGGTGTGGATGCTGCGGTGTGGATTCTGGCCATTGTGGATGCTGGCCGGTGTGGACGCTGGCCGGTGTGGACGCTGGCCGGTGTGGACGCTGGCCGGTGTGGTGGACGCTGGCCGATGTGGACGCTGTGTGGACGCTGGCCGGTGTGGTGGACGCTGGCCGGTGTGGACGCTGTGTGGACGCTGGCCGGTGTGGATGCTGTGTGGACGCTGGCTGGTGTGGTGGACGCTGGCCAGTGTGGACGCTGTGTGGACGCTGGCCGGTGTGGACGCTGGCCGGTGTGGATGCTGGCCGGTGTGGTGGACGCTGGCCAGTGTGGACGCTGGCCGAGGCTGAGCTCCGGCTCCCACTGTCTTCCCTGCCATACTCACCTGGGCTTCCCAGCATTCCTAGTGGTTTCAGTGGCGGCCACGTGACCATCCCCAGCCAATGGTGTAGAAGACCATCCCACGGCCTCTCCTCCCCCTCCCTAATCCCCCATCAGACCACAGCGGGGTGGACAGGAGCCTCCACGGGGTGTGTCAGTGTCCTTGTTTGTGGGTGTGACCCCACGCCGGGCGGCGAGGGACCTGCGTGCCCAGGGCCGCGGGACTTGCCTTGTCACTGGAGAGGCTTCTCTTCCTCGTGGGCCGGGGAGGGGGCAGCAGCACGTACAGGTCGGCCAGGGTGGGCAGCCCGGGCTTCACCACGGTCAGCAGCAGCTCCTCGGGGATGCTGGTCTCCTGCGGGGACAGAGGGATGCGTGCACGTGTCCTCACGGCACCCCCTGTCCCAGGGCCTCGAACACGGGTTCCTAAGTCCTGCTCGGCTGCCCTCATCCCCTGCACGCCACACGGCAGCCCCCGAGCCCTCACAGGCATGGCCTCCACGGGCCTCCCTCTCCAGACCTGCCCCTCCCGCCCTGCCCCTCCATACGCTGCCCGTGCTGAGCTCCTACTGCACCTCCTATGCCCAGAACAACTGCACCAGCATCATTCACAGGATGAGAACCATGGTCGGGGTGGGGCCCAGCCTACACACCCTTGGGGGACCGGGAGGACTGACCCCTCTCCACCCCGCTGCCCTGCCCCCGTCTGGTGGCTGTGAGGCTCCTGGGCGACTCTACTCCGGCCTTCCCTGTCTCCAGGCTCTGGCTCAGGGGAGGTTTAGTCGGTAGGTTGAGATGGCTGTAAGGGCATGTCGGACCGTGGAGGACCACGGTGGCGTGAACAGCCGGTGCTCTGGATGGGCTGTCTTCCTTTAGAGGCGACGCTCCGGGCTCGGTGCCCCAGACGCCCTGGTGGCGGGCCCCGGGCTCGGTGCCACGGACGCCCCTGCTGCAGGCCCCAGCGGCGGGCCCCGGGGAGACGGATACCTTGGAGAGCATCCGGGTGACCACCAGGCCCACGTCCTCCCGCCACTCGGGGGTGTTGGGGTTGTAGCTGTCCAGGTCCTGGGAGAACTGCAGGGACACCACCTGGAACTGATCTGGAAAGAGGCAGGGGTGGGGCTCCGGTCAGTCCTGGCCTGAGGCTCTGGCCCCGCCAGGACGGGCCTGGGTGCAGGCCTCCGCGGCCCTCCGCGGCAGCTCGGGGCAGCAGGGCCGGCTCAGCGTTTGGAGATGAAGCGTCCTCCCGGGGCACGGCGGGGCGGGCGGGCTGCTCACCAGGGCCGCCAGAGGCGGTTACCGTGACCCTACAGTGGAATGGGGGTGGGGGAGCCTGGTCTAGGGGCGCAGACGCAGCCCACAGGGTGCAGACGCCACCTGCTGGCCTCGTTCCTTCTGCTTGGTGGACTGCAACTGGACCGGCCCCCATCTTAAGAGTCCACGGCTCAGAGCTCTCAGGTTGAGGCGACAGGAGCCCCAGAGCTGACCGTGACCCCCCTGCTGGCCTCTGGGCCTCCGTGCCCACCCTGTGAAGGGGGAGGACCCAAGGGACCATGTGCGTGAACTGCGCAGTGTGACTGGGTACGCGCGGGCGTGGCCACAGCAGCCGCGCTCTGCAGGGCGGACACGGTGCGGGCGCCAGGGCCGGGCACTCACCCAGCACGCGGACGACCCTGGAGTCCTGCAGCACGGAGCTCCCGCACGCGGCCTGCACCGTCACACGCACCTCCCCCGCCTCTGCGAAGCGCGTGGCCACCCGGTTCTCCAGGGAGATCAGGGGCTGCGGGCACAGGGGGCTCAGGGCTGGCAGGGGCTGCCGTGGCCACCAGGGGCAGTGCCAGCCCTGCGGCCGGCACGTCTGGTAGGCTTCTCAAGAGCGCCTGATTCAGAGGAGGGGAAGGGAGGGAGGGAGGAAGCAGGGAGGAAGGGAGGGAGGGAAGGAGAGAGGGAGGGAAGGGAAGAAGGAAGGAAAGAGAAAAGGAAGGAAGAAGGAAGGAAAGGGAGGGAGAGAAGGAGGGAACAAGGGAAGGAGCAAAGAAAAGAGGGAGGGAGGGAGGGAGGGAGGGCGGGAAGGCAGGAGGGCGGGAGGGAGGGCAGGCATCCTTGCTCTGAGTCTTGAGGCCCAACCTGAGGACAGTCGGCCTTGTCCTCTTGCCTGGCGCTCTCTGTCTCTCCCCCTCCCTCCCTCCCTCTCCCTCTCTCCCTCCCTCCCTCTCTCTCCCTCTCTCTCCCTCTCTCCCTCTCTCTCCCTCTCTCCCTTTCCCTCTCTCTCCCTCTCTCCCTTTCCCTCTCTCTCCTTCTCTCCCTCTCTCTCCCTCTCTCCCTCTCTCCCTCCCTCCCTCCCTCTCCCTCTCCCTCTCCCTCTCTCTCCCCCCTCTCCCTCTCCCTCTCCCTCTCTCTCCCCCCTCTCTCTCTCCCTCTCTCTTTCCCTCTCTCTCCCTCCCTCTCCCTCTCCCTCTCTCTCCCTCCCTCTCCCTCTCCCTGTCTCTCTCTCTCTCTCCCTTTTTCACTGTCTATGGCTGTTTTCACAGCATAGCCAGGCCTCTCAGTGAGGCCCCCGGGGTCTCCGTCAGCTCCTCCCTTGGGGTGCCCTGCATGACTGCTCCCCATAGACGGCCCCTCCCCCGCCTCCTCCCCAGCCTCCTCCCCAGCCCCCTCCCGGCACCCCAGATACCTTGCCAACCACTTCGTGGCCCTGGTCACACTCCGCTCAGGCTGGCCACCTTGTTCTACCTCTTTCCCCGGGGAGGCAGGGACCCGTCTGATCTACCCTGTGCCCCCAGAACACGTGGACCCCGAACCGATGCCCAGGGAAGCCGGCCCGGCCCCTCGCGGTGACCGGGGAGCGGCAGGGATGGTGCCCGCCGGGGGCTCCGTGGGACAGCGCCCGGATGGGGTGGGAGGCGGCAGGCGGGGTGCACCTGCAGGCTCTGGGCGATCCACCAGTAGAAGACAGTGAGGTTGGGGTTCGGGGGCAGCAGCACGGCCGTGAGGTTCACCTCCTGGTTGACGCCAGTGACAGGGACCACCTCCAGGTAGAGGGCCTGCAGCGGGGCTGCGGGGCGAGGGGGCAGGGTTCAAGGACAGCGGGGCGCCCGCCTTCCACCGTCTAGTCTTTTCTTTGTTGGTCCTGGGGATCAAACCCAGGACGTGGCGCAGGCTGGGCAGGCGCTCTGCGGCCGGGCTGCAGCCCTGCACGCACCTCTCAAAGGGTGCTCTTGGTGACCAAAATCACCCATGTCAGTGAAGCCTTTACCACTGACCCCCCATCACCACCAACACTACCCCTGCCACCACCACCATTACCACCACGACCACCACCATCATCATCATCATCACCACCACCATCACCACCACCATCACCATCATCATCACCAACATGACCACCACCATCACCATCATCACCACCACCACCAACACGACCACCACCATCACCATCATCACCACCACCACCATCATCACCACCACCACCATCATCACCACCACCATCATCACCACCACCACCAACACGACCACCACCATCACCATCATCACCACCACCACCATCATCACCACCACCATCATCACCACCACCACCAACACGACCACCACCATCACCATCATCATCACCACCACCATCATCACCACCATCACCACCACCATCACCACCACCATCACCAACACGACCACCACCATCACCACCACCATCACCAACATGACTACCACCATCACCACCACCAACACGACCACCACCATCACCATCATCACCACCACCACCACCAACACGACCACCACCATCACCATCATCATCACCACCACCATCATCACCACCACCATCACCACCACCACCACCATGACCACCACCATCATCACCACCACCACCACCAACACGACCACCACCATCACCACCATCATCACCACCACCACGACCACCACCACCACCATCATCATCACCACCACCATCATCACCACCACCACCACCACCAACATGACCACCACCACCAACATGACCACCATTACCACCACCACCACCATCACCACCACAACCACCACCACCACCATCACCATCATTACCACCACCATCATCACCACCATCACCACCACCACCACCATCACCATCATCACTACCACCACCACCATCACCACCACCAACACGACCACCATCACCATCATCACCACCACCATCATCACCACCACCACCAACATGACCACCACCACCAACACGACCACCATTACCACCATCACCACCACCACCACCATCACCAACACGACCACCACCATCACCACCACCACCACCAACATGATGACTACCACCAACACGATCACCACCATCACCACCACCATCACCACCACCACCACCATCACCACCACCAACAACAAAACCACCACTATCACCACCATCATCACCACCAACAACACGACCACCACCACCAACATGACCACCATTACCACCATCACCACCACCATCACCACCACCACCATCATCACCACCACCACCACCACCATCATCACCATCACCACCACCATCACCAGACCAGCACCATCACCAGCAGCAATATGCTCACCAACACCGTCACTGCCGTTACCACCACCACTGCTCCCATCGCCCTCACGAAGGCCACCCATGCGGCCCCCCAGTCCTGTCCTGCCCAGACCACTGGTGTGCTGTGTGAGTGCCGGCCTCCCCGCCCATGGCCCGTCATCCCGGGGCTCCCGTGCGCCCCAAGACCAGGCCGGGCTGGCTCCTCAGGGGGACGGACTTACAGTTGACCTGGACAAAGAGCACGGCCTCGTCGTGGCCGGCCGCGTTCTCCGCCCTGACAGACACGCGGTAGACGCCCGGGCTGTCGTAGCGGTGCCGGATGGGCTCCCCGCTCAGCGTGAGGTTCACGTACATGGCCTTGAAGTCGTCCCCGAGGTCCACCTGGTACCTGGTGGTGAGCACGTCGCCCTGCAGGACGGCGGGGCGCTCAGCCGGGGCCTCCCCTGGGCCCGCGGCCCGAGTGGACGAGCGGCACCATGCAGCGCCTTCCAGGGGCACAGCCGTCTTCCACGTCGGAGGGGCCACCTGGCTGTGAGGAGGGCCAGGCGCTGGCGACAGCACAAGGCAGTGCGGGGTCAGAGGGGCCCCGGTGGGGACCCAGTGCCAGAGCGTGTCAAAGAACCCGGGGGAGCACGGCTCTCTCACGGGAGGAGCCCGGGGGGAGCACGGCTCATGGGAGGAGCCCAGGGGAGCACGGCTCTCTCACGGGAGGAGCCCGGGGGGAGCACAGCTCCCGGGAGGAGCCCGGGGAGCACGGCTCTCACACGGGAGGAGCCCGGGGGGAGCACGGCTCACAGGAGGAGCCCGGGGAGCACGGCTCTCACACGGGAGGAGCCCGGGGGGAGCACGGCTCACGGGAGGAGCCCGGGGGGAGCACGGCTCACGGGAGGAGCCCGGGGAGCACGGCTCACGGGAGGAGCCCGGGGAGCACGGCTCTCTCACGGGAGGAGCCCGGGGAGCACGGCTCTCACACGGGAGGAGCCCGGGGAGCACGGCTCTCACATGGGAGGAACCCGGGGAGCACAGCTCTCACACGGGAGGAGCCCGGGGGAGCACGGCTCTCACACGGGAGGACTTCTGCAGTGCCGCCAGGCCTGCGGCCAGCAAGACACAGTGTCCCTCACACAGCGCCGTCCTCGGCTCTCCACTGCCCCCGTGGGGCGCAGGCGGCGCAGGCTTTGCTGGAGGAGCTCCCAGGGCCGAGCCTCCCTGCAGTGCGGCTCACCCCGGGGCTCGCGGTCACCCCCGCCCCCTGAGCCAACCTTAACCCTGCACCCCACCCGGTGAGGACCAGACGCCGCCAGCAAACCCGCTGCCCACGCGCGTCCCACCTGCCGGCCTGCACAGCCGGAGCGACACGCCCACCTGCCTCGCACCTAACCTCTCCACAAGCACAGCACACACGCGCCCCAAACTCATGTGTACTGGAAGCTCCCAGTGGGAGGCTTGGAGACAGGGTCGTGGCTTACAGAGGTAGTTAAAGTGGGGTCACACTGGGGCAGGCAGGGCCAAAAACCAATGGCTAGTGTCCTCCTAAGAGGCGAGAAGCCAGGCACAGGTCCACACACCACTCGGGAGGCTGAGACCTGAGGATCGTGGTCGGAAGCCAGCCCAGGCAGAAATGTTCCCAAAAACATCTCCAATTAACCACCAAATAGCTGGAAGTGGAGCTGAATGAAAAAGCCTAGGGACAACTCCCAGACCCTGAGTTCAAATCCCAGGACATGAGAGAGAGACACACAGACACAGAGACAGGGAAGGGAAGGGGAGGGGAGGGGAGGGGAGGGGAGGGGAGGGGAGGGGAGGGCAGGGCTGTGAACCCCAGCAGGGGGCGGTATGGAGAGGTTGATGGCAGAGCCAGGCAGCCCCAGCCCAGAGCTCTTGAAGCCGGAAGAGGCAGAGCAGCGCTGTGCTCAGAGCCCCGATGGTGGCCCTTTGTGACAGTGACCCGGAACCTAATGTATATGACGCTCCGTTCCCCGGTTTTCTAGGTTTCAGGATCGAGGCTGAGGTTGCTCCTGCCCAGTGCTCCCTTCAAAGGGGAGGAGACTGAGCTGCCTGCCGGGGGCTCACCCTGGCAGCATGCATGTGAGGTTTAAGGAGCACTTCCTGCTGCTTCACGCCGGGCAGCCTTGGGGGAGGGAGGGTCCGCTCACAGGGGTCCCCAGCCACCATGCATCTCCACGGGTTTTCTGGATTCCTGTGTGTGCATGTGTGTGCGCGTGTGTGTGCATGTGTGTGCGCGTGTGTGTGCGTGCGTGCGTGTGCGTGCGTGTATGTGTGTGTGCGCGCGTGTGTGCGCGTGTGTGTGTGCGTGTATGTGTGTGTGTGCGTGTGTGTGCATGTGTGTGCGCATGTGTGTGCGTGTGTGTGTGTGCGTGTGTGTGCGTGTATGTGTGCGTGTATGTGTGTGTGCGTGTGCGTGTGTGCGTGTATGTGTGTGTGTGTGCATGTGTGTGTGCGTGTATGTGTGTGCGTGTGAGTGTGTGTGTGTATGTGTGTGCGTGCACACGCACATGTGTGCCAGTCCTGGGTCCTTTAGCTTTTTTGCTCAACTGGCACTCTACCATTTGAGCCACAGCTCTTCTTTTAGTGTTTTGCTGGCTAACAGAAATGAGCGTCACAGAGTTTCCTGCCTGGTCTGGCTTTGAACTGTGACCCTGGATCTCAGCCTCCCGAGCAGCTGGGCCCACTTGTGACCCCCTGGTCGGTGCCCCCGCCTCAGCCTGCTCCTCCATGCTGCGTGGGGCTAGTTTGAAGTTGATGTCGGCTGTGGGGTGTGGATGAAATGTGTGTGTGTGGGGGGGGGGCTGTGTCCGCCCAGCAGCTGCTCTGCACCTGTGCAGAGGTGAGCAGAGACGCACGTGTGCATGTGCCGCTCCCGGCCCCCCCCATCATCAGCCCTGACTCCCAATCCACCCTTCCCAAGCCAGGGGCGGGTGAGCGTGGCTGTGTGGCTGTAGGTGGCCAGGTTACGGCGGTCTGCGTGTGTGAGTCCGTGTGAACATGTTTTGCACGTGTCTGTGAGTTGGTGCGGAGTGTGTGGTGTGGGTGAACGCGCCGGCCTGCCCCTCTCTCCCCGGAACCCCTTCACAGCCAAAGACAGCAGGTCCCGGTGCCCTGCCCTCCCCGTGAGACCTTCCTTCATTTCGGTGCCGGTGCTGGGGCTTGAACTCGCGGCCTGGGCACTGTCCTTCAGCTTTTTTTTTTTTTCCTCAGGTGGCTGGTGCTCTACTCGAGCCACAGTTTCGTTGGGGATTTTCAGTGGTTACTGGAAGGTAGGGCACATGGACTTTCCTGCCTGGGCTGGCTTCGCACCTCCAGCCCAAGATCTCAGCTTCCTGTGTAGCTGGGATTCCAGGCGTGACCTGAAAGAGCCCTTCCTAAGAGCCTGTCCTCCCCTCGCCACGGACCTCCTCAGGCCTGCCAGGGCTCCTGGTGCAGGGCTGGGGCCTGGGCAGCTGGGGCCCAGGGCCAGGCCTAGAGCTGGCCTTCAGGCCAGTCTGATTGGCTCTGCAGAGGGGAAGCACGTGCCGCATTCTCGGCTCTAGGGGGCAGCAGAGGGCCGTGTTTCAGGGCAGTCTGTCTGGATTCCAGCAGCTGCTGGGTTAGCTGGGGGTCCAGGTCCCCCCAACCCTGTGCCAGGAACGCCGCGCTCCAGGGTGAATCCCAGGCTGTCTGGAACAGCGAGGGGTCCTGGGATGTGGGGAGTCAGAGCCAGGGCACCGCTCAGGTTTGGGGGTACAGACTTGGTCTCTGTCCACTGGAGCCAGAGGCTAGCGATGACCGGGCACACCTCTGTTTCCCCACTTACACGCAGGTTTTTGTGTACGTGCCTGACAGGGCCATCAGCACTTAGCAGGCTGTGTCCTTCCCAGCCTCAGTCTCCCTGTGTGCGGGGGCCAGGGCCCATGGTTCTGGGTTCGAGGGACTCTGTCCCTCACCACCCCCACCCTACCTTGGCACTGTGTTTGGAAAGACACTTAACTAAAGCTCACAGAACACAGCCACGCATGACAAACGCTCGTAACTGAGCCCAAGCTCAGGGAGCCCCACTCCCGGGGACACGGGTCCCACCCCTGGCGCCTTCTGAGCGTCTGCGCTTCCTGCACATTGTGAGTTCTTCTAAGGGTCACTTCTTGATTTCC